AGAGTAAAAGGAACATGAATTGTCTACCACTAAAAACTTATTACACATCCGCCATGCTTTCTATGAATAAATATAAATGCTATGTGCTTAGGATGTTTGCTTTTTGCGATTTTCTTATCCAACCCAAATGAATATCAATAAAACATTAACTCTAAGTGGAACATGATACCAAATATTTATACCTGTGCTATATAAACTTTAATCATTGTACTAAAGAAGTAAAAGGAACTCGAATTGTCTAACACTCCAGCCTCACACTTGCACTCATAATCATACTTTCTAGTGATCAATATAGAGACTACATGCTTATATATAATTTCTTATCCAACTCACATATTAATTAGTAGCATCAATCAAGTCTAAACACGGCATTATTCATACCAAACATCTGGCATGAACATGCGACACTCCAGGGCTCTAAGGAAAGATCCAAAATAAATATAATCCCAAAAGTGAATCCGAATAAGTGTAGATATACATACATACATTACAAGCACACGTGAAGAGGGAGGGGGATAGTCAGTCCGCATATGAAATTGGAATTGATGCTTCACTATACATAGGCTATGGTTGTCTAGTTGGGAATGAAACAGTTTGGTTGGATATTTATATTTATTTATTTACAGATCCAGATGAATAAAACAAAGGGAGTTCGAGGCTGGAAGGTAGAATAGACCAACCATTGAAGTGGATAATTTCGTGGGGCCATTTTGGGCAGGGAATAATCTATGTACCCAGTAGCCCATCCATTCACCCACACCCTTCAACCTTTCCAACCCAACCTATCCTGTAACACTGGAATACAAACAAAAACTTCCCATATCTACAACCCTACTAATATTTATTATTATAATCGTTATTTTTATTACCTAAATTTCATCGGACAATACCTGCCACTACAAATAAGTTTTAAGGAGCCTATTATTATTCATTGTTACAAAATATACAAGTTTTACTGTATAAAAAAAAAAAAAAAAAAAAAAAAAAAAAAAAAAAAAAAAACAATACAACTTACAGAGTACAAAACATACATATTAAAAGTTACATTACATATGTAAGAAAAAAAAAAGTACAAATTTACATAACACAAAATACTCCTTACGTGGTATACTAACCAACATTTGTAAATTTCAATCAAAATAAACAAATAGAGCCTACTGACCCTGGCAATTTCTATCTCGTCGCTTTAAGAAATAACTTTGAATTTCACCAATACGATATGCAAAAAATAAAATAATTCACTTTTTCATACATTACCAGAGTGTTCCCCTTGCCAACTGAAAATAAGATGACTCTTTTTTGGAATTTAAATAAAAACATACAAATTTAACTTAATAATATTGCGAGATATAACTTGTGTTATTTTAAATTCGAGTCTTGTGAATAAACAGGTTTTTTTTTGGTCATGCAAAATAAGAAACAGACTGCAATAGTAAAATTTCTCAAAAGCTTGGTTACAAAACAGGTCTACAGTATAGAGAGCAACATGTTTACCAATAAAATAAGTTAATACCTAGTTCAAATACTTGGGAAAAATACTGTGCCACATATATGATACCAAACTTAGATAGGAATAACATAGGCTGATTAAAATCCATAACAAAACTAAACATCATTGCAATTTATAATATCATAACATCATAATTTAACTACTGGTTGGACAAAAAACCACTACACATCAACTGTCGATTTCAATAGTTTGATTGACTGTGAACAATTTCTACTCAAAAAGTAATGAAAACCATAAAGAAGAATAGCCCTTCAAAGGTAATACTACTGATGAAGAAGCCCTTCACAGGTCTTGAACACTCAAACCTGTAAAGATTACACAACAAGAAGTTAACCTTCATGATATGCTGATTTATCTATCAGTAATTGTATAAATGCAGCACAAATTTAACATATAAGTGACAATAGCTCCCCAAAACCAAAACGTATGAAATGATCTGGTTGCAGAATATTACATATGTAACATATTACTGACAAATATCTCCCCAAAATCAAGAATGTGTGGAGTGAATTGGTTGCAATTATTGATAAGTAATCACGTACCTTAATAAAACATATAAAATCATACCTAAACTACAACCTACTTTCACCATCTACTTACACAAAAAGGACACAAAAAAAAAAAAAAAAAAAAAAAAAAAAAACTTACAAGGGGAATATGTCTGCACTAAGAATGATCAGAGATGAATGGAAAAAACATAGTTCATACAACCACAAGAAGCAACATTGAGGCTAAGGCTTAGTTAAGTTTACTAGAATTATACTCTGTACCAACATCCTTGTACAATATGCAGACTCAACCAAGGTAGATTACTAGTCTTGTTTTAGGAAATGCATTTTAAACTTTCTAAAATTAGGGAAACAATACTGAAACTTCTAAAAAGTTCACAACACACTCAACTTGAGAGTTTCTGTGCATCATAGAAGCCAACAAGTAAATCCAATTAGTTTAATATCTTAACAATTACATTGAAGGTGTAGAAAATTCAATTAGAACTAATATTCTTCTTAACCTCGTACAAGCTAGATGAAACAACAAGAAACATAACACAATACCATGCCAATAAAATGGATTATCAACAAAGTTTCAAACAAAAACATCAATCAGTTGAGCAAAGAGGACAGACCGATCTCTACAAATACATTTAGAGCCAATTACATTTAATAAACACAGGTGTTCAGGCTAACCTGGAGGAAGAGATTGCTTCAGTTTGTCTGCTTTCTCCGAGTCAAACACACACAGGGTGTACAGGTACTTGGAGCAGCGAACCTTGAACTTGACAACATCCTTTCCCCTCTTGATCTTCACTGATCGTGCATCTTTCCTTCTGGCAGTAAGAAGGAAGTCCTTGATCTCATGAATTTGCTTGGGCTAAAGTTCATTGGAACACAGAGAGTAATAGAAATTAGAGCAAGTTATAACTCAACTCCGGAACAAACCATAATAAGATAAAACAAGGACATCTGTTTTTTAATAGTACAAATAGTAACATTCCAAGCACTAGAGAAGCACAAAAACCTAATAAACAACACTTTTTCCAGTATTAGACAACTAACACAGTTTTAATTAGATATGTTTGGAAAACCAGCAAAGAATACACAGCATTTCCCAAACACTTCCTAAAAGTTTTAAGCATCCAGTAGACACATATCCCAGGATAAGGTACAACTCCCAAAATTCATATACTATGGGCAAATCATGCCCCAACAAGTCATAAAAGAGCAACTAACAACAGGTTATCAGGTTATGATACTGACATTAAAGCCAGAAGCTAAATTTTCTATTCGTTTCTTTTCGACTTTGTTAAGTTGTTTTACAATCATATTTTAAAACATCATTTGATTTCACCATCCATTCTAGGAGTTACTAAGGCACATCCAGCATGATCTTCAATTTCATCATCAAATACATAATCGTAAACAAACTCTATAAGCAATATACAGACAAGTGAAAGAGAACGAGATATACGTGCTACATATACAAATTAAAATCCAACAGAAATACAACCTATGATGAATCAGGAAGTATATGCATTGTACACAATAAATAAATAAATAAATACGAAATACAAATTAAATCGATTGTTGTAGCGTACCATTTTCTCTTGCTCCTTCCGAACCCTTCTGCTCAGACTTCAAGAGAGGCTAGGCTGAGACTGTAAAAATCTCTTATATATAACGCACCAATAAATCAACCCTAGGGTTCCAACCTTTTTTTGAGACTATATTACCCCTACCGATCGCGTGTATTTACGCTTAATCCAAGTGGGCTGGGCTGGAATCACAGAGGCACTCAGGCACCTGTCGCCTAAGCCAAAAAATGTTGGGCTTTGACTCCTTTGAGGACACAAAGTCTATTTTTTTTTTTAAAGCAATCGTTTATATCGTGAACTCTAGTCCAATACACATAATTCATATGCATAATTTACATAATTCATGTTCATAATGCATATACATAATACACATACACATAAACACAATATAATAAACATAAACTCTGTATATTATGAACATGAATTATGTGTATTATATAGTTGAGGACATATAAACACTTAACATAATACACAGAATTCATGTTCAGAATGCACATAATCATATTCACTATATCGTGTTATGTGTATTATGAACATGAATTATGTACATTATGAAGTCAAATTCTGTGTATTAGATAAGGGTTCACAGTGCACTATGGACCCTGGTCCACGATATAAATTGCCTTTTTAAAGGAAAACCATTCATTAACTCAAGTCCGAAGACGGAATATTACAAAGAAAAGATGGAGGGATAGCGTGTCACTCAGAGCAACCAGGCCTAGAAACAACATGCCTAGTTATGGTATGGGCAACGTCGTTCGTTGATCGCTTAACAAAAGCTAAAAAGACTTGTGAAAATTTGCACGAAGTCAATTAAAAATAGAAAAAAAAAAAAAGAAAATTTTGATGGCGCTGAAAGTCCGAAAAGTACAATTTCAATCTTTACACCGCAAAATCTGCGGATTATAATCCATATTTAAAGAATCTGCGGATTATAATCCATATTTCAAGGTGAATCACTGACATACATATTTTTTTTATATATATACATTAGACTTTTCAACTTAGGCTAGACAAATTCTAAACTTGTAGAACCTTTCTCCAATCACGTTAGAAAAGGTAAATCGTGAATTGTCCAATCATTATGGCAGTTCCCAACCCTGGCTGTACGCTTACACAATGATTTTTAATTCATTTATAAAATATTCATTTTTGTGTACATTACAAGTTATGGAGTAATTTATAGTATATTACTTAAAAATGAATATTTAGTATACTACAGAATTATGACTACTTATTTGATAATATCTTATCTTATTATATGTACATCCAGACATATCCTACATAATTGTAGGTAATACAAAAAATAACTAGTCATTTGAGAACTTAATAGTTAAAAGGAAAACGTTTCCTCAAAATTATACAAACGCTCTAAAAAAATAAAAATAACACTCAGTCTGTTGAAGTTTGTGTTGCCCCATTGTAATCTAGTCATTACATCAAATATACATGAAATGGCCTATCTTTTCTGATAGGATACACTCCTGCAAGCATTCTAATTTGATGTGTAAAATCACAGGATCTTTTACTTTTTTTCTAATAGACATTACAACTTTTCCCTGATGAACTGAGAACGAGAACAGGACTGACGATGAGATTCAGTTGTTTTTCTCCAGAAAACATACACTGATCTAAGCACGACGGCAGGATTAAATGCCTTCCCAGCTCTGTGCAAAGTTTAGAAGGTTGTGAAGACCTCCATAGCTTAAATCCTGAATGAATTTTTCATAGCGGTGGTAAGACTCGAAAATAAAACCAGCTATAATAGATATATCTGAAACTAAAGAGGAAGAAAGCTAGTGTTTACAAATACATGTTAATTGTAAGGCCAGAATATAAGCAAATCTGTCCAGCAAGTGAGAATCCTTGTCAAGAGTTAAGCAGTTGCAAGTATAGATGCATTTTTACACGGACCAGAGAGTTTATTACTACAAAACATGTTTGCCAGGCTAGATATGAAGTAATAATATGAAAGACACCATGGAAAAAGAAAATGTTTTGGCAATAATGACTCTTACTTACTGATATTATTGAGGCCATGGAGAGATAAGGCTGAGAAACTGGTTTTGTAACACAAATAGCAAGAACGCCATTTGACCTTTCCTTCTCTTCTGAATAGAAATTCCTATAAACTTGAACACCTGAAAGTTGCATGTCAATAAAAATTGGGTCCATTATAGGAATTCTATCATAAGTCTCTCACTCTTGTGTCATTTAAGTCATTGCAGAGCTGGTTAGGACCAAGGAATAACATATTATGAGTTAAAAAACGAACAAGTTTTGCAAGGTAAGGGTTTGGATAAAAGCAATAACCAAGACTTGCAATCTCCAAAAAAAAAACAAGAAACAACAACAACAACAAAGAAGAAGAAGAAGTCCGCAAGGAAACCAATAAAACACGAGGACAGAAGTAATTATATGTGCATCTCCCATTTTGGTTAATGTAGAAAAGTTGGATAGAATTTCCAATTTATTATTTAAATCGCTGAATGACTAATACACCTTTTTTATCTTTCCAGAAAAGGAACTCTAACTGTTCAAGTGACATTTCTCTTGCGGGATGAGTAGCTAGCAGACACTTCCATTCAACTAAAATAGTCTAGGTGTGCCCCGGAGGCCCGGGGCACAGCTCTAACTGGTCAATCAACCCAAAATAAGTTTTTAAGTTTTGCTTGGCTAGTTGAGGCACATCCGGCCATTTGCCTCCTCCACCAGTCTTGCAGTGAGGGGTCTTTGGGGTTCAAATGAAGATAGTGTAGGTGTAGGTTATGCATCAAAGTATTTGTCTCACCAGCATGCACAGTATATGCTACTGAAAAGTAACACCCCTAAAAAGACCTCCTTAGCCCCCTCTTACAAAGATCATTACATGAATTTCTTTCCCCTAAAAGCAAAGAGATTGTTGTCACCTTCTTCTGTAGATTTAATTCCTGGAAGAACTTTGGAGAGGGGCTCTGCTTCTAGCATCTCACGAAATGAAGCATAACGATGAACATCCTGCAAATTAGTCCCTTGCAAATCATCATTCATGCAAAAACATAATATTCATAAATAGAAATCAAAACTGTGATTGGCATTATCACCTGAACCTGAAGAACTAAACATTTGTTGAAAAGAATATAAGCCCCAGCTTCAATTCTTAAATTAACACCAAAACAGAACTCCATCAGAAACTCATAAACAAATACTAAGTAAATTGTAATCTATATGAGTCTTCATATTTGGTGTGTAAACTATATCCAGCCAAGTTCTGCAAACAAATTAAATGATAAGATAAAACCATACTTATTGTAGTCACCAAGAGCACACCTTCCTTCAATAGTTTTCTCTCCACCTTTAACAGTCAGAAAAAACAATCATTCATCAATAACTTCAAAAAGAAAAAGAGCCAAAATATAGGAAATTAAAAGTTTATGCAAACATATAAATGAATATGTAGCTATTTAATACTACTTCTAAGATGTGAGAAGAAAGGCTCCTGAACATGAAGTTCAAAGTCCACGGTTTTCAGCACCTGTATTAGAACAAGGAAAATACTTACATACTTTGAATAAATATATGAAATCAATCAAACAAATAACATAGAAAGAAGGAAATCACGCTTACATTGATCAACTCAGAACCTTTTTCCCTCACTAACTTATAATTGCACCCATCTTCCTTCTGTTTTAAAGAGCATGTTTCGTGCATCACTGCAACCTCACTATCTGTCCTTAATATATCTCCAGATGATATAAACTGGTACAGTGATGCCGCTAGACGCTTGTACAAGGGAACTGAGACATAACAGCAAAATCGTATAACATATAAGGCACAGAGTACAACAGCGCCAAAAAAAAAAAAAAAAAAAAAAAAAAAACACTCTACTGGGAGGGAGGGGGGAGAGCAGAACTGACCTGTAGAATTGGAAGTGTCGTCGTGTAATAGATTTGCGCAGAAATCGTCCGATAGGCCAATGTCGGTGTCCAGTGTTCCGGCGACGGAGAATGCCAACGTGTGCCTCAGAAGCTCTTCTATGCAGTGGTTGAGTTCGACCGGAGACGGTGCCTCCTTCGGCAACTCCATATCATTTTCAGGCGATTGTTGGTAAGCATAGGCTAGATCTTTGACTGCGCACTGTCCGGCTTGTGAGACTCGAGAAGTCATTGTTCCTCAATTTCATCTTGTGGTTAATTGAGCTGTTATACGGGTGTTTTTATTTTATTTTTTTTTTCAATATGTATTTTTTGAATGATTTATATCTTTATAATTTTTTTCTTCACACATCATCCCGTAAATATATACAAGATTTGTCTGCATGGGTAGCTCAACTGATCATAGAGGTAAAATTTTAGAATAATGACCAGCAGCAGGAGTGAGGGAGATCTTCTTCTTTTTCTCTATTTGTTCTTCATTCTCCTTTTTTCTCTATTTGTTCTTCATTCTTCTTCCAAAAGGCTGAACCCCAACCCAAAGGGCTCCCCACACCTCGACTCGACAGAGTATTTGGGAGTTCATTCTTGTTCTTTGTTCTTGTTCGTTGTATTGTAGTGTTCTTTTATGGCAGGCGTTTTACGACAATGACATAAGCCGTTGATAGTAGAAGTCGACGAACAATAGTGTCTACGGTAGATGATGGAGACTTATACACTTTTACACTTTTATATTTATTCTATCTCTTTTATTTATCACAATCACGCAATTCATTTTATACAGTAACATTTTTAAAAAATAATTTTTTCATGTCTAACTATGACTTTTTTTACTCTTATTTTTATATATATTGCAATGATCAACAACATTTGTCCGATATTATTACAAGCAGCATCGCATGATTTAGTGCATGAAATATGACTTTTTTTACTTTTATTTTTAGGACCAAAAACATTTGCATGTGAAATAATTTTCTTTGTTATTATTCATATTGTTAGAATTATTATTCAAAATGAGGTGGCTAATACTTTTGTGGAATGGCAGGGAGAGGCAACTTTGGTAGAAAGTGAAGAAATGCATGGACAGAACATTAATACTTTACCAGGTACTATGAATATTTATGTTGATGCCACGGTTTTTGGTGATACTGATGAAGCTTACTTTGGGGTCTTTGTGGTGGATAGTAATGGGGAATTCGTAGCAGCTAAAAATGGCCCAATCCGTTGTTTGAGTGATGTTCATTTAGCTGAAGCTCTCGCGGTGAAGGAAGCTTTATCTTGGGTTAAGGAGTTGGGTCTCACAAAGGTAATCATCTATTCTGATTGCAAGAATGTTTGTAGGCTGCTAAATGGCACATCTCAGGATCTATCATATGCAGGTTGTGTTATTCGTGAGTGCCGATCTTTCCAACGACACTTTGATTTAGTGTCATTTCATTATGTTTCAAGATCAGTGAATAGGTTTGCTCATGCTTTGGCAAGAGCTACTCGTTCTCAGACTGGTTCTTCTTGTTGGTTGATTTCATTTCCTTCTTGTATTGAACATTTGCATTAATGGAAGTTCCTTTGATTTTCAAAAAAAAAAAAAATTAAATTTTCTTTATAAATTTATCTAAACATATAAATGATTAGAGATTACACTCATTATATAAAATTTTAATTTTAATTTTGTATGTTATAAAAATAGATACTTGACCAAAACTGTTATGTCTTTAAAAAAAGAGTAAATACCCAAAATGGTCCCTCGACTATAGCTAAATTCACAAATTGGTCATTGACTTTCAATTTCAACCAATTAAGTCCTTAACTTTGTAATTTTTACACGATTTGGTCCTCTATCTATTTGACCGTTTGTTGACCGTGATCGACGATCTCCAGAAGAACCTTCAGCCCTCGTTGGAGCACGTGGAGGCCTCCAGGATGATATTGCACTGGTTCGGAAACACGTCATCGTCTTCGCTCTGGTACGAACTCAACTACATTGAATCTAAATGGAGGATGAAGAAAGGCGACCGGATTTGGTAGATTGCTTTCGACAGTGGATTCAAATGTAACATTGCAGTCTGGAAATGCAACCACAACCTTAAAAAATCGACGATGGACCATGAAATTACATATATATCCTCAAAAGTCATAGTCAAAAAACAGTTAAATAGACAAAGGACCAAATTGTGTTAAAATTACAAAGTTAAGGACTTAATTGGTTGAAATTGAAAGTCGAGAACCAATTTGTGAATTTAGCTATAGTCGACTAGTCGAGAGACCATTTTGGGTATTTACTCTTAACAAAATTGAGTATTATAATATAAATATATTATCAAGAAGGGAAAAAAAAAAAAAACAAGAAAAAGAAAGAAATATTACTCCGTATACAATACAAAAGATTTGGGAGGACAGGCAAGCGAGAGCGGCGAGCGGTAGAAAAAACCCATAACGGAGGGAGAGGGAGACCGGAGAAGGAAGAGTGAAGAAGAAAGATGATGCGAACAAGGTTCCTGTGGTTCACGCTGGGCTTCTCGTCTGCCTCGGCGTTGATGGCTCAATTCGTGTTCAGGGATCTCTTAATCGATCGCACCCTTCTTTCTTCACAGGTACTATTCCCCATCCCAATCCTCTTACATTCTCAGTATATACGCATGATGTCGGTGCTCATTTGAATCCCCCGGTTTCTCCATTTCTAAAATCTATTTTCTTTCCATTTTGGGTGACAGTTGAAAGAAAAATTCAGCGCCTTGGAAGGCAGAGTCTCAAGTCTCGAAACTGTGCTTCAAGACAACCCCGAGCCTCACCAGGTAACCACTCTGTGATTATCTGTATTTTTTGGTAAAAAATTCATTTTTTTTTCTCCATTGTGATAATTGTATGTTTTATGATGAATCAGTGATGTGTGCTGAAACAGATTGCACTTTGTTTGAGAGTTTAGGTTTATAACGCTGCTACAAGATAGTGAATATGTGCAATGAAAATTAAATGAATTTTGACAAAATTTATTTCAGTTTGCAACTACTAAACAAGCAGTGAGAAACTTACCTCTATTTTGAGGTTGGTTCTTTTACTCTTTTAGTTACATTGGGGAGGGAGACTTGGGGGGTGGGGGGTGGAGGTTGTACCCGGTTCGTGGGGAGTTATATACAGGCAAAAATGAAAAAAGAAACTTGCAAAATAGTGAGTAAATAAGTAATGGCCTGTTATGCAACAATACTATGAAACATTCTTTATTGAGATCAGTGGACACGCTTGGAAAATTTTCAGCAATTTATTGTATGTGTAAGGGAATAGTAACAATTCCGCATGCATGTTGTTGAAACTATAGCTGTCTCCTTTTATGTTCTTATTGGAGCTTTTCCCAATCTTCAAAGAACATTTTCTCTTTGTAGTATTAGTGAAGATTCTGAGTTTTCAAAAAGAGATATTTGGTTGCACTTACTGTCCACACCATGTCTAATGTAGTTGTTACATCTTATTGATGAAGTGTTTCTGACTACTCGATAGTTTATGAAGTTGTATAATGAGCGTAGGGTGTGAGAACATGACCGCCAAAAATAAGTGAAAACATCTAAGATGCAAAGGCAAAAAGAAGCAAAGACAGAATACAGTTATTTGTGTACTGTGTGGACAAAAGTAAAAACAAAGTACATATACATGCTAAATGCATGTTAGATTTTGGTTAGCTCCATGTGAATTTCATAGCTAAATTCATGGGTAGTAGTCATAGTACATATTTATGTTTTCTTATTTTCATGAAAGTAGCAAGTTTTATTATTTTCCATGTTAGAGTTTCATGACAATTTGCTTCAACTATGACCAAGGAACTATAAGTGAGCTTATGCATTTTAGGCAGTTATATAGCAGCATAAAATTTCAGTTCATTATTTATCAAAGATCTTTTTGTGCTCTTAATCCTTTTCTGCAATGTCCTGTAGATTAATGGCCTATGTCTTATTGGGTTATGTCATGTTACCCATGATCTTGCTGTTACTGGTCCTTTTGCAGGGCGAAGGGAATTAGAAGTGAAGGGCTGGATCTGTTTAGGGCATCACTCGGACTTGATAATAAACTTAAGCAATGTTTCTTTTTGAAGGAAATAGTTTTGCAAATTGTTAAATCGTTGGTGTACTCATTTCCAAGTTGTCATGTAAAACACTCTTCTCGCTAATAACAGAGAATGGCTTGATGGTCTGTCTTCCCAAATTTCACATTAAGCAAATAGGAAGAAGAGACGGATGATCTTCTAAGATACCTAACTTACGGAACCGAAGAATTTGAGATTATCTCAGACCATTACACCAAAACTGTATATGCAGTGTAGACTTTTGCTCTTGTATTTGGGAAAGAATGCATTTATTGAATATATACAATGCACCCTTCAAAGGTTGCTTAGAAGTGTTTTGATTTTTGAAGTGCTCCTCTCATTTCTTTATCACAAGTGCAGCTTCCTTAAATTCCTTCTCTTGTTAAGCATGGTTTGGTATGATACCTCTACAAGTTATGATGCACATAAACTTTCAAGGGTGAACGAGAAATTTAAAGAAACTCTATAACGTTTTTTTCGTATTGTGTTTTTGTTACCTTGTTTGTAAGCATGAGAATAAATTGAAACTTGAAAAAGAATGGTTACTAAAACCTTCCAACCTCAACATCCCTCTCTCAAATCTGCACAACTTTGAGGGCAACTCTAACGAAGTTGGTTTGGTGGTTAATTTGGTAACCATAAGGTTATAAGTTTGGACTCTTAGCGGGAGCAATTTACTGACTTTTTTTGGTTTGAGCTGGTTAGTTATGGGCAACCTAGGTTGGTTTACTTCCATGTGGTCTGAGGTTTACTCAGCACGCACTCTCATGTAGTAGCTGCAGGTTTCCCTCATTATTCAAAAAAAAAAAAAAAAAAACTGCACAACTTTAGCTCAGAAAGCAAATATAAATGGTTCAAGGTTAAAGCCCTGCATGCCTTGATCATCCATAATCCCAGATGCCCAGATGAGGAAGAACAATTCATCTTATACTTAAATCACAAGTTTAATGAAATGAAATGTTTGCCATTCAGGGGTTTGTCCCCATATTGGCATACCTATTACATCCTTTGGCTTCCATAAGAGCTAGGATATGTGTATATATGTCATCTATTTCTGTAAATTTTGGTACCAAAAAGAAGGAAAAAGAATGTGTTTTATTGGGGTTGGCAGAGGAACCTGCTGAGGTTGGGTGAAAATTATCCAATCACGCCTAGTCCTCCACGGTCATATCCAACCGAATGTATAAATATGAATCCTATCTCTCAATTCTTCTGAGATGCTGCAAATCTGCAATGTATTCCCTTCTATAGCTGCTGTACATGGAACATATATGCTGTTTTGACTGCATTTTAGTCTCAGAAGCCTATTCCTGAAAGAATTGGACTGCTATTTACATGACTGTGTGATCTGGAACAGGTTCAGTTCCTAATTCCTCATCTTTTTCACGGTGTGGCTTCACAGAACCATCCAGGGCCCCGTGATGCCTCTGCTCGTGGGCTGCTTCGACAGTCCAGGTCAGCACCAGAGCCACCATCACCACCGAAAGGAAAACCAGCGCCCCCCACACCAAATGTGCATTCCTCTTTAAAGGTCTGCAGTGGTTTTCAAGAATATCAGCAAACGCATCATTCACTGTTTTACACTCGACTAGTCTCTCCATCCCGGGGTACACTTTGAGTATGTTCTGAATTGACGTTGCATAAGCCTGCATCGAGTTGAATTCCCTCGGGGTGATCACGATTCCTCCGTTGCAGTTTGGGTCAGTACAAGTCAACACCTTCAATAGCTACAGTAAACAAGTGCAATTACTAAATGGTCATGTCAAAAAATCCCGAGCATATACTATAGAAAATATAAACGTGTAGTCTCACTATCAGCTTAAACTTTTAGCTAACATACCTGAGGAATGTCTTCTATGCGAATTGTATTTGATGGACATTTATCTGGCTGGTACAGATACTCGGGCGGTTCTGAGAAAGGCTGGCAGATTTGTGCAAAATTTCCATACGATCTCGAAATGTTTTCGTTCACCTGACCATTTTCAAGATTTGAAGAAATCGAGGTAGGTAAGCATATACTTGTATGAATCCAAAACCATGAACTACTGTATGCAAATTTATCGGTTTTACAGCTTACCTGATCTACCAGTGTATAAATCCCCCTGCTAACATCACCCAGAACTGATCTTGCAGAAACTAGGTCATCACAAGGAAGAATTGATCCCAGGCTACTATTGTAAGGATCTTCTTGGAAATTCTCGAAAGCTGTGCATGTGTCTGATGCAAACCTGCAGGTAACACAAGACATTTTTAGCTGTTTTTCATGTTATTTTGGAGATTAAGGTTGAAATACATGAAATGGGATTAAGGATTGGACATACTTGTCTATGAAGAAGTAAATCCCAAAGAACAACCAGCACAGAACAGTAAGTATCCAACAAAGAATAATCAACCTGGCAACAGATCATTAAAATGATTCAAGTTCACATTCGAATATCTATCAACTGTCTGCCTTTCAACGTTAACATGATGTGATCGTACACTTACCAGCGAAGCGTTCTTCTGAAGTTGAGAATTCCGAGCACTGACAGACAGATGGCTGCAACCAAATTAACTGAAATGATGACAGTACTTATTATGTACACAATCCTTAATCCCTTCTCTATCGCCCGCCTGTTTTTCCTCGCCTGCCTCTCGATATCAGCAGCCCGACTGTCGAGGCTCTTGGATGTGGAGGCCAGGAAACGCGTGGCCTCAGGGCCTCGATCCGTGGCTCCTAAATCTGCACTCATTTCTTTCATTGCCTGAGTCGTGTTGTATATGGTGTTTGATGCCCCGTCTGCAGTGTCAATAATTATGTCAACAACTGTATCTGCTCTCGAATGGAACCTCGCGTTCCCTCCAAGGACTAGACCCGATGCTATCCTGAAATCGTTAAAAGGAACAGTCAATTTTCTATGCCTGAGATTGTTCGGTTTTCGTGGGGGGGGGGGGGGGGCGGGGGGGGGGGGGGGATTGAGAAACATACACTGCTAGAAGTGTGAAGAAGATTGCAGAGAGAAAAGGCCAGAGATAACAATGCTTCTGACATGGGACTTTCCTCTTCTTGAGCTTCTTTCTCTCTCTTTTACAGCAAAATGTGGTGACAAGGAGAAATACTCCATAGAAGAAGCCACATAATAGCCACACTACTGCAATTGCATACCCATATTTACCTGTAAACACAGTGGACTGCACAAAATGTTGCATTTTTAGTACTTTGGAAACAAACAACAGAGGTTTGAATACTATATATATATGTTTATATTCAAAACATGTAATTTTTTTTTTTTTTTTTAAACTTACACTCCAGTAGTGTTTGTTCCTAATATCATAGCCTCCCCTGTATTTCTTGAAACTGTCCAAAGGGTCAATCCTCACTGTGCCATCTGATTCTTTCATGGATTCTATGCCATTGTTTACTTCAAGCAATTGCCTATCTGCAATTTAAAAATTATTATTTTTTAAATAGTGAATTAAAAAAAAAAAAAAGTCTCAATTGTCATGGATCCTGGTCAGGTTTGTCATAACTTTCAAATATTATATTGAACATTCACATAAATAGTTATCCAAAAAAAAAAAAAAAAGATCAAACTCCAAATTATTTTGGATCAACCTTTTAGTCGTTACGTTGTTAGGAATATGTTGTTCAAAAAATAAATATAGGAAATTTGTGGACACCTATACATTTTGTATCAGGTACGACTATATGTAACGTCACATTTTTTTTATAATATCTGATATAATCAAGCATATTATGCATACCGGATATAAATTAAAATAGGTGGGTGTGAATTGAATGAGAAAGAAATTCTTAGTGTATTAATTAAATATGAATTCATCCATCAAAGTATCAAAGTAGTGGGGGGGAAATTCTGACCTGGTCCAAATTTGAGTGCTTGTAACTGAGGGACGACCAAAGTGAAGAGATGAACGTACAAAATGAGCAAAAAGGAGGACATAGCCAACCTCCTCGTACACGCCGCCGTCGACCACATCTTCAATTCTGTCAAACCATCATTAATGATATAATCAATAAAAAAGTTCAACCTCCCAACGCCTTTGGCTGCTTGATTTTTGGGTGTTTGGCAATTGTAGATATCATTACATACAGTGATACAGCCCCCCTGGGTATAATATATATGTGCATGGTGGGTTCTGATGAATGTGAACGAGATTTAAAAAAGGAAAGAAAAGAGAGAGAGAGAGAGAAATGAAGCTTTGAAAGCTTTTCAAAAGAAAGTTGGAAAAAAAGCAGGAAACCCAAAAGACAAGTTGAACAATGGAGTTAATGATGTCCACAGAGAAAATCCCAGGAAACTCATCAAAACATGTTCTTATATCATCATTAATCAAAACTAAAAATATGCATATTACAAATACACACATATATTTCACCGTGCAGCTTACTTAAGCTCAGAGAAACAACATGAATTTTTCGGAGAAAAAAACTTTTTTAAAAAAACTGATATTAAGCTCAACATCTCCCTTCAGGGAGACTATCAGTGGAGCTGAGTCTCATTTACAGGCGCTATGGTGCCATTAGGGTTAGCGAGGAAGATGGGGGGAGAAGAAGATGAAAGGTGATATATATATATATATATATATATATATATATATATGATAAAGATGGAGAAAAACATACCCGCCCAGATTAATGGATCACTGTAGTGTTTGTTGTTCAAATTGTTGCAGCAGATCAGAAAGGATATATATATGATGATGATGATGAGTGAATTGAAGCCGCCTTAGCTTGTTTACATCTGCGTGTATGTATATATCGCGCAGCTCGCCTTCAATTCTATGATCTGAAGCCTCAACAAAATTGTGCCCAACTACAATACGTACAGGAATATATCTATCAACCCCGCCCAGAAGAAGATATATATATGTGCGTGTGTGTATGTGTATATATATATATACAGCAGCCTGTCTAAGAATTAAGGCAATAGGGGAGTAATATTCAAACTCCTGACATGGAAAACTACGAAGCCACATAATGAAGTTAACATATATAGGACATATATCTAGAATGTTTTAGACTTTATATATATTATTATTATTATTATTATATTATATATATATATATATATATATATATATATATATATATAGTATGAATGTATAGTTTTCTGTTGTATGAGTAGGCGGGGGTTCTATCAGCCTTCCTTCAGCATTTTTTCAAAGTCAACCGCTTCAAATACAATATAATTATTAATTGGCAGGGAAAAACAAATCAATTTGAGCTCTTAGCTATTACTCCGTATTACTGTTTTTTAAAAGAGTTAATTGCATTATTTGTCCTAGATTTATCCTAGATTTATAGACCACAGTCCACTTTTAGTATTTTTTATCACAATATTTACATTTGGTCTTAGTATTATTGTGACATGACTATTTTTAGTCATTTATGTATCAAGAAAACGGCTTTAATGTCGTTGAATACAAAGACATTTCGATTTTCAAATAAGGATTTTTTTTTTCAAAAAAATAAACATAAAAATATAACAGGGTTAACTTACTCGGTATAAAAATGTTCGAAATGTCTTCGTATTTAATGATATTTCAACGATTTTGTTGGCGTTGGCGGAGGACCAAAAATGACAATTGTAAAAAATAACAATAGACAACCTCCATGATATTTAATCGAATGGGGTTCAAACCTGAGACCCTTCATTTGATTGGTCACAATTATGCCGCTCAACCACAAGATAACAAAATGATTAAATTTAATCAAAAGATTGAAAATATAATTTCAAATTTTAAAATTGTCCCAAAAAATTTGGGCAAAATTGACGCAACCAAAACTGATATTTTAGTCATCAATAATTCCTAATTACTCTTTCCATAATATATATTCTCAAAACATGCATTTATTTCTTTGAATTAATGTCTGCATTTGTTTTGTTTTGTTTTTTTGTTTTTTTGTTTTGTTTTGTTTTTTTATTTTTTGTTTTTGTTTTTGGTGGGGGAATGTCTGCATTTGATTGAAATACAATTAAAGACATCAATTTGGTATGAATATAATATTTTAAAAAATATGTTTCTTAGCGAGGACTAATCCACCTTTAATCTCACCCAAAAGAACCCTCATTATGCTCCATTATATTGCTGCTACAGTGCTACTTAACTAATTTATATGTATACAAACTAATCATTCCTTTTCAATGGCTAGCTCTTTTGTTTAATATTTTATTTAATTTTTTAATTACAAAATCACCAAAAAGGGGTGGCTAATTAATTAGTTGTGCGAAATTCGAATGTCAAATTCTAACAAAATCTTTTAGCATCCATTCATTTTATTATAGTCAAAAAGGGTAGGTCTTGCACTCTTACTTTTTCTAGGATTATATATATATAGTTTAAAATATTTGAAGTAATATCACAATTAGAATTGAGGTATATTTTAGAATCTCTATTTGAGTTTTGATGATTACAAAAAGTTAAACAATTAAATTAGTTTAAATTGATATTAAAAATGATCGAAAATATATATGAACATGTTAAATGAGAACAAGTCTTGTAAAAAGTATGGATTAATTGTGTCCGTTTATATAAAATGACTAACGATTATAAATGTTAAAAAAATACAGTGACATTTTCATAATTATATATATTATTACGTTAGGTTGTATTTGGAATCGTTTAATAATTCATGCATTCAAAATCTATAATAATCCACTTAAGTGTGTGTACTAATGTACTATTAGTTGTCTCCAAATACACTATTAAATATTTTCTATTGCACCGTAATAATTACGAAAATATCATCATTTTTTTTTCTTATTTTCTAGTCATTGATCAACTCAGATTGATTGATGAGTTTAATGTTTAATTTTTACAAGGGTTTTATTCTATCCTTTATATATGTTCACACCTGAATAGAGCCGTATACTAATTATTGAATTGATTCAGACACAATTGGGTAAAATATTAGGTGGCGTTTGGTTAAGGACTTTTACACATTACTATGGATTTACTTTTGTTATCCTATTAATGAATTCAAATATTTTAATAGTTACCAAACTCATTACTATTATCAAATATTCGATTCTCATTAGGTTTAGACATATAATCTTATGGCTATATATCTTGATATCTCTGTTTAAATTAAAATAATCTCATAAATGTTTTAAAAATATCATTATATATTTTGGCATGTGTTTGTATGAAGACCGTCAACCACGCGCGGAACCCCCAGTCAAAAATATACAAACAACTGTTTCATCATGCCATGGAGACTTTTACTATATTTTATTATTTTTGTAGTTTCTTACACTATTTCACACCTCGATCTTTTTTCCTTTTCTTTTTTATATTTTTATTTCGTCAATTTTTCATTTTTTTAAATTTATATTTCCCCCAATATGGATCATTGATATATATGTTCATTTTATTATATTGAATATTCATTTTTAATATACTATAAATTTATTTTTTGAATGTTCATTTTTAATGTATTATATATTATTTCAAGTAAAATGAACATTTAATATACTAAAAATTAATATTTATCAATGGCCAATATTGCAATGTGAACCATATATAGTATAATTTGCCAATGAAGTATATGTGGTTAAGAAAATGACAATTAAAAAAAACTAGAAATTTTCCTAGCATATTAATTTGGTTAGGCACATGTGTTTAGACTTCAGGTTAGTTTGGTGGGGTCTAGTAGTCTTGTGCTCAAATTTGAATGCTTTTGGCCCTGTTTGGTAAAATGGCTGTTAGCTGATAGCTGTTTGCTGTTAGCTGATTGTGTTAATTAGAGGGTATAAATAGTTGATAATATTAGCTGATTGTAGAAAAATATTTGGTAAATTAGCTGTTAGTTGATAGCTGTTTGGTATAATTTATTTTCTCAAAAAGCTAATTGAAAAAGTTGCTAAGAGTAACTTTTTTAATTTTAACCTTTTGGAGTTGCAAAAAGCTAATTAACCAAACATTTATATTGATACTTTAACTAAATCAAACAATTAATAGTGGTCAAATAAGCCAAAATTAGCCTATAGGCCTATATAAATTAATGATTTTGTAACTTTCTATATCATTTTAGAAAGTTACAAAATCATTAATTTATATATATATATATATATATATATATATATATATATATATATATATATATTTGCAGAACTATCCTCATAATTAGCATACCAAACTTCAAAACTCTAACTACTAATTTTTATATTAAAAAAAAAAAAAAGTAATCAAATAGTTTTTAAATTGACGATTATTATTAGCCAAGCATCTTGTGTCAGATGGCATGTAGTGACCTCTTCCATGTGAAAGGTCATGTGATCAAGAGTCAATAACATCTAAAAATTTGACAATTTTTAAATGGGACATGGTTGAAATTTGAAACTCTCTACAAAAAAAAAAATTGAATATATTTTTAAACAATTAATTTTAAATTTAGTCTTTAATTATATGGGTTACAAAGTACATGTGTGTTCATTAATTTGAAAAACTCTCAGTCTCTATTTTTGTATACTGCTGACTTTGTTACAATGCAGTATCTAACACAAAGAGTCCGTCTCTACCGACTTCGTTACAATACAGTATGCATAAAGAGTCAGCATCCACTGAGACTCAAACTCACAACCTCGCATATGAAAAAACAACTTAGTGCCACCAGATCACAAGATCATTGGCCTGAAAAAGTCTCTATATTTGATGGAGAAATAAAACACTACAATTTTTTTATTTTTTTAAATATAATAATAATAACACATTTACTTATACCATTATACATTTTGGAAAAGAAAATAGAGAGTAAAGAGAACGAAAAATTTGAAATAAACAGCTAAACACTATAAATTACTATCTGTTAGTATATTTTTTATGTTACCAGTTCATTTTATTTTTTATTTTTTGGAATCTATTGAAAATCATTTTGATGATTTTTTCTTGAAAGCAAATATTACAGGGACGGAGCCCATAAATTAGATTGAGAGGGGGCAAAGAAATAGGACGGATTCAGAAATTTTTTCAAGTAAAAACGAAACATTAAAACAAAAGAGATGATTTAAAAAAAAAATTACCTAAGAATTTTTTTTTTATAACCATTACTTAAGAAATATAGTTGTAAATATTGTTGGATATGTGCGGAAAATAAAACACATCAAAACTTTATAAAAATATTTATAACAAAATATGAAACATAATTAATTTTATAAAATAACTAGTATTTTTCCCGTGCGATGCACGGACAAAAACTTATAAGTATTGTTGTAATATTATAATACAAAACAGAATTAATTTTATTAAAAATATAAGTATAGTTATACATTTAATATTTAAATGTTAAGACAATATATGACAAAAAATGCATTAATATTGCTAACCTCATTTGCAATAATGATCTTACAAAGTTAAACGGACAAAGAAAGACCCGGACTACCTCGTGATTTACACACAAAAAAATAATGATCTTACAAATCTATTAATATGCATTCACACTTAGGCGGGAAATTTTTTTCCCTACTTAATTTTACTTTACCTAACATTCTTTGTAAATAAATTATTAAAAAACTAATCAAAATTACAAACTATTAAAAAGTTAGTATATATATATATATATATATATATATATATATATATATATAAAATCAAAATTGATATAAAACACTCGTAGAAATTAATTCATGATTACATGAATTTATAAATTTGTATGCATTTTTTTTTATCTTGCATCTTTGTGTTGTATAAACTCAACAATCTCTTTCACACACACACACACACACACACACACACACAAACTCAACAAAGATTTATGATGATTATGAAGTTCCTAAACCATTGATATTCCATAACTCTCAAATGCATCAAATGGAGGAAAAAAAATTTTACATTGATTCTGCTATATTATATATAGAGATTTGAATAGAAAACACATTATAAATTACACATATTAAATATTAAAAAAGTGACTGTGTTGAAGCCATATGAGAAGGACTTAAAAATATGTAAAACTATGTTAATGCAAAGATTTGAATCCAAGACCTTTCCCAATAACAAACACATGCTTTCCCAACTAATTCAATTCCTTACTTGTTGACATTTACTAGTTTTTTTATACTAATACTAAAACATATACTATATATACATATATACATACAAAGATTATATATGGGGTGGGGGGTAGTTGACCCCTACCCCCCCCCCTTCCCCCCGGCTCCGTCCTTGGTATATTAAGAACTCATCAAACCAGCAATACAAGCGGGAGGGTATGAAACCTACGAACCCAAGACAGACGAGGAACCAGTTACACACAAGCCATGTGATTCGCTGACCTCTTGACATGGCAAACCACCGCCCCATAAGCTGCCCCATGGTCAAAGACCGCTGCATCAATGTTACATTTAAGGGATCGTTGAGGGGGAGGAGACCATACTACGGGGGTGTTATTATTTGCATCATTATTGGGACTGATAATTATAATTATCCACAAAATTAAAAAAAAAAAAAAAAAAGTTGGTGTCGACAAAGCCAACTTCTAGCATGATCCGATTCGCAGAAGTCCAATTAATGGACCATGACTATAATTGAATTTTTGCAAAAATTTGACTTTGGAAATTAGATTTTAGGCCCCACACTATTAAAACTCTCAAATTTAAAGCATCACACATTTTACCAACGGTAATTTGACCCATACAATACTTAGAATAAATAGAGGTGTAACATTCTCCTCTCAAGTCTCGACCTTTTAGCCAATGCAAGCCTTGTATTTTCACCCACGTACTTTCAAGTTTAAGTGATTTTTTTTTTATTCTTTTTTAAATCACATAGCTTGAAAGCTTTCAACAAAAGGTTGCCATACTTTTTATGTTCTTTTTAATTTTTATTTATTTATTAATTATTATTTTATTATTATATTATAATAATATGATATGAAAGTGAGACCATTTTTGAGAGTAAGAGAGTATTGTAAGAATGTAAAAAAAATAAAGAATTGTAAATTTAATTTGATGATGTAAAGGTAGGACTCACTTTTAAAGTGAGTATATCACGGATAAGAATAATTTTAGGGATAAATTCTACGTGATATTTCCAAAATAACTAATATTTTTCCTTTCTTTTTATATTACAAATACAATACGCAATAGTGGAAGACAAGTTGAAGGCTTTCCAAATTCCAAGCAATTAAGCAAAGCTAACGTAAGTACGTACGTTAGATTGCCCCACACATTTCATGCAAATTAAAGTAAACATTTAATTTGCTTTACGTAATTAAATTGATTTGCAATTACAATACTAATTATTTTAATGGAAAATGAACCCCTGAGTTATATGCATATAGTATTTTTTTCTCTAAATTATTCAAGTAAGCACATTAGTCCCCTCAATTATTTTAAAAGTGACGATTTCTCCCTCTGATATATTAAATTGACATTTATACCCTTAAAGCAAACATTTTATTTATTTTTCTTCTCCAACAAATTATTGCGTATATGTAGGGATGACCACGGTTCGGTTCGAACTAAACCGGACACTATAACAATTGAATTAAAAGTTTCCGGTTATGATTCAGATCCAGAACACATATATTTGGATTTCAGTTTATTAAAATTATGAATCAAAAAAATTGGATCCTGAACCCTGAACCGTGAACCGTCGATTTTGGATCCGATTCGCGATTTTGAACCGTCTTTTTTAAAAAAATAGTCTAAATTCAACAATAAATGTATTTTATTTTTTCAGTTCGGAACATGAACCGGTCGGTCCGGTTCGCGATTTTAATAAACTCTAAATATCGAGTTTCAGTTCTAAATTGTAATTGAAATATTTCGGTTTGGTTGCAATACTGTCTGTTTGATTTGAACCAAATTGTGGTCATAATTTGTTAGAGAAAAAAAATAAATGAAATATTTATTTTAAGGATAAATATGTTCATTTAACATTTTTAGGGAAAAAACAACCACTTAAATAATTCAGGAAGGAAAAGTGCTATAAATTTATAACTCAGGGGAAAAAACTGCTATTTTCCCTTGTTTTAATTGATTAATTAATTAAGGAGGACATTCTAATACCGTATAGGAAAATAATGTGTACTCTAATTTTCTATTCCGATTCTAACTTTTACTTTCACGCACAAAATCTTGATGTAGACATTTACATTGAGATTCAGATGAAAAAATTAGTTTATTAGTATCGGTCACATCAAGGAGTGAAATTTAGAAAGTACATGTAATAGAACTCTAGAGTATAACCTGACGTTATATTCACTAATTCACCCCATCCAGTCATTTGTTCCAAAGAAGTAAAAAGGCAACGCAATGGGACATTCTTAGCCAAATTGGTCAGACAAATTAACTTGGTAACCACAATATTACAAATTTAACTTTTAAGTGAAAACAAGATGAAAAAAATCACTTTACAAATAATTGGGTGACAAAAATTGATAGCGGGTATAATTGACGTAAAAAAAAATATTTTTCTAAAGACGAAAAGTATCATTTTCTCATAATTTAACTTGTGATAAGTGATGTACCACTTTATCTTTAGCGTATCATCCCATACAAACTAGTCACATAAAGTTATAAGGTAATATTATTATTATTTTTATAAAGAATAAGATTAACAAAAAATTTATAATTAGGTCATTGAACAACGCAAATTCATGTAATTAAACTTAAAATGACTTGTTTACCCGTTAATTATGTTGACATGTCGGTCAGTTAATTTAAAAAATAATTTTTAAATTTTTATTTTACTATTTTTTTTAAAGGCCAGAGACGAATGGCTGAAGCTACGTCGGCCTAAAGTTTTAGGTGCGTGATTTTCATTCTTAAGGTGCATGATTTGTTTGCTTAAGGTGGTGAGTCAGTTGCTGAAACTTAAGGTGCGTCATTTTAAAACTTTAGTGCATTGTTTGTTTTCTTAAGGTGCTTTATTTGTGTGCTTAATGTACGTTGTTTGTGTACTTAAGGTGCGTCTTTTTGTGTTAACTGCACAACTGTACGAGAAATTATCTTTGCATGTGATCCACTCCATATATATATATATATATATATATATATATATATATATAGTGGTAAACGATTAAGATTTAAGATGATCGTCATCTCATGACTAAGCAAAGGTAAAGCAAAGCCGCCATTGCATGAACACCATATTGTGCAAGAAACCATAATCACCAAATAAACAAATACAACACGTTTATCGACACATCACAATTCCAATTCTATCTTCCTCTGATCTCTGTGCATTGGATCTAAATTCTCATTCATTGGGAACCATGATCAAGATTATATCATATACTCTAAATTAATATGTTACATATTTTCAGTTTATTTAATTACCTAATATATTATGTATCTTTAGCAAATATGAAATACCACTAACTGAAAGTACATAATATGTTAACAATAAATACATAATCTGGATCAAAATTCACATTCAAGACGGTCTGACCCCTTATATAATTTGTGATAAGTACTACAGTTGACAAACACTCAACAAATATAGTTATTTATATACCAACAAATTCTTTTTTCTTTTTTGGATACACTCCAAAATAAAACTCAAGAAAATCATGGGAATGGGACAAAATTAATTCCAATCAATGTACAGTAACAGATGGCTCAATCACATAAAAATATACTGCATGTATGTATCTGGTAGTATTATTTATTACTTTAGTTGAATGTGATCTAACGATCGTCACAAGAAATCTCACCTGATTATATATTTGTGTATCGACAGTAACTTCTCCATATATTAAAAAGAAGTTGAAATATGGGGAAAAAATGCTACAGCAAAATCCAATTAATTGCATTAAAAAGAAAGCTGATACTAGTTTTGGAGCCAAAAGTGCCATAAATAAATTACACCATTTTATATCACCTTCTAGCTAGTCAAATTCGTATATCAGCCACAGCCAACAATCCCACAACTTCCAATTAACAAAAAAAGAGATCTACATGAGATGAGGATAACAACTAATGTAATATTGAGTTCATGTTTCAACCATGGGCTCAGGTCCTGAGGACTCTGTCCGGGATCTGTTTGACTGACGAACTGTGTTGAAAAGGATGTCCTTGATAACCTAAAAGCATAAAATGGAAGCATTTTTAATGTGCCCCAGTGAAATGTTGTAGAGTTCAATTGCAACAAGCTGGAGCTAGACATGAGAGAAAGGGAGAGAACCAAATAAATACCTGTGACATTAGTCCATGAACCTGCTCCACAGTTATCTTTGCACTATCACAAGTTATCTTAGCAAGTTGAGATTCCTCCTGCAGGGAGAGCATTCAAATCAGCAGATTGCCTTAAGCTGAAATGCTATATATATATATATATATATATATATATAATCTTGTCCATCCATATTACAGAGTAGAATGGCACAGAACATGACAAGCAAAATAAAAATGGTAATGTAAAAAAGCTGATTTCTTACGCCCTTTGGCCAGGTTAGAAGAAATGAGAGAGAATATTAACATAAAAAAGTATAAAACACGTGTTTCTTTTGCATTGCTAATGAATATCAATGATTAAAAAGTTGAAGTCATAGTCCTAGGGGCCTAGGCTTATTAAGGCCTTGTGAAAAGAAGTTGAAGTCATAGTCCTAGGGGCCTAGGCTTATTAAGGCCTTGTGAAAAGATGTAAACAATGGTACTCAATTTCTTTTCACAAGAGAGGTGTCATCGACACTTGAAACCAAAATCAGATAGTAAGGTTAAGGTTAATGTTAAGGTTTACATAGCACATACCAAATAGACACAATAAGTCAATAACAAATTCCAAATAAACAAACATGAAACCGACCATGTTGCAAATTACCCCTTCCTAAAGGAGAATAGGTCAAAATATAACAGAAACCTCAAAAGAGGTGAAGTTGACATATGAATCAAATACTTTTCATATGTCAGTAATTTTCTTTAAAAGCATAAGGATGAAGATGAAGGAGTTATAGATAACAGTCAAACGGTATGGCAGACTTGTCAGATAAAGTCCAGTTCATGCAAGAGATTGTATGTTTCAGAAAGTTGACATTCACCAGAAGATTAGGGTGAACCAAGGATCAAATAAGAACCAACCAAAAATCCTCTGTGATTAGGACATTAGATCATAATGTGGACACAATAATGTCGTGTGTACAATGTAGTATTTGGCACTACCACCCATGACCCATGGAAGAGGCAAAGTGATACAAAGAACATCAAAACAATTTATCAAAAAAGTGTAAACAAACAGGCCAATATGAGTCAACAGATTTGCTTGGCTTTATTTTATAAATGGCATTAGAGATACACTTGCGCTTCTAGAACACAACTAGTATAGTAATTTGCCACTAGAAAAACCTAGCACAGTATGGTAGTTAGTTAATCTCAAGCTCTCAGCAGCTCCCTGGGCTAGCAATTCCTCTAAAACCATTGTTGACGGCGATCACTCATATCCATATTTAACAGAATAATTTATATTTAGCATCCAGAATCCAGATACTTTCTTTTATCTCATAATTCATTTTCTAAGTACAAGTTAGGAGATTCTCCACAATTAATTTCTGGAAAAGCATCATGTATCCAAGAGAATATAGAAAAAGCAGATCAAAATTTCCAGAGTTACATTCTCTATTTTAAAGTTAAAATCCCCCATCTGACAGTAAACAATAACAAAACTACCTCTTTCTTCCTCTGAGCAGGAGCTATCAAGGGTCCAAACCTTGAATGAGATAGTTGGTTCTCAGCTTGTTCTAGCTTTTCAGCTGCATGACATTAAGAATATCACAAATGCTATTAGTTTGACCAACCCATGCTAAAATAATATCACCGCATGCTTCTAATAGAATGAACTACATAAGAAGTATGTAACAAAAATTATTATAGGCCTCGAGGTATTACCAAGATCTGAAATCTGTCCTGCAACATAGTCTCCATTCCCAAGTAAAGGAGAAGAAGAAAGTGTGTTCACCCAATACTTATTCCATAAAAGATCCAAAAGATGAGAGTCCAGAGATGATTTGAAATATGTGATGTCCAAAGAATAATACTGCAGTCAAATGCATATGTTATGATCTGCTATTTGGACAGAGATTGAAAACTGCAATCATGCGGAAGATATATATTTGTTAAATTCCATAACCTGTTTGCAGTGCACTCCAAAATCTTCAATTTTGTTCAAAGGGATGGTCTGATACTCAGAGACTGGTTCATCTGGCGGCTTATATCCCTCTGGGTATGTTCTGAACGCACCAATCTCAACTTTCCCAGCAGAAACAGTTCTTGTTGGATCAATAACTACGGCTAGAAAGGGCTCCTGAAATTGCTGGTTTAGCATTTGTGTAGAAACATCAATACCAGAAAGCCAGCATCCATAGCCAGGATGGGAATGATACCATCCAACAACATTCTCCAACCGACCAGCCTACACCACATGCCACAAGACCAATTGTTTCAAAAACATAACACATTAGCACATCTTATACATGTACAAGTTAAGTTGAAAGCTAAAAAAAGAAACCAAAATCAATAGCTGCATATCTGGTAATTCAGGCATTAAATCCAAAGCACAACATTAGCCATCAGCAAGAATTCCACATAAATATTTACAGATAACAATGTTGCAATGACAATAAAAGCCTACTAAGTTAGAATGTATGAACTGTGCTAAAACTCTCAAAATACTTAGATTACTGTAAAACATGCAGAGATGAATTACTTATAAAATTCACAGATTTCTGTAAATAGATGATTTGAAATACCAAATTTCCAATCAATAGCAAATTGATCTCACATATGGAAAAAGCTTAGCAAGTAGTACCAGATGCAGGAGTTAAACAAAGATGCCTACTATGAAGCAATATTCCAGACACATTAAGTATTATTTGGCAAACATAATCTGTATTTATTGATATCCTCGGACCCAATCTACCCACATGATAACTGAGAATCAGGAACCATCTAAGCTCTGTCTTAATTCAATAAGAGCCCCAATATTAAAACCATTGCATTAGTTTTTCTTTCAAGTTTCAATTGAAAACGAATTCGTTTCGAAACGCGATAAACCTAACTCCTACTCATACAATGTTGCAACTCCAACGCAAATGTAATCAGTTGAACGAGAAGCTTCCGTACAATCTAAACCACTACGAAAAAAAAAAAAACCCTAACCTGTTTATTTGTTTGCGAATAATCGACCATGTACTCATAAGCATCGGCCTGAGCATTAACCCTAGTCTCAGTGCCTTCGACGGGAAGAGCGAAGGCATCCATGACAATGATGGCGTCGCCGTCGGTTTTCCCCTGCATAAGGCCCATAACCTCGATGGTGCCACCGGAGCGCGCATGGACAACCATCTTGAGAAGCGCGAGTGCGGAGATCTTGACGCGCTTGAAGTAGTGCGGATCGTTGGTCCATGGCTTCTCCTGCTGGAACTTGGTCTGCGCCGTCTCATCGTAGTAAAATATGGCGTCCGACGATGCCGAGGCGGCGGCGGAGTCGGCCGACGTCGGCGGCAAGTCCATTGTCTCAACGTTGTTCTCTATCTCCCAGGTCTTCTGGGCAATTGCCGCCGATGATGTGAAAGAATCCATTAGGTGTAAAGCTCTTGGAGAGGACACGCCACTATAACTGAGCTCTTGTGCAGTGCCGCCTGTAAATACATATATACTTCTCTACTATTCTAAATGGGCATTGATTCAAAGTCCAAACCCGAATTGCTTCACATACTCTCTCTCTGTCTCTCTCTCTCTCTCTCTCTTTTTTTTCCCTACCTCTCCTTTAGTTATTATTATTATTATTATTATTATTATTATTATTATTATTACAATATTAAACTATCATCTAAAATATAAAAACATAATAAATATGAATGAAAGTTATACCATTTATTTTCAGTTTTTTTTATACATTATGCTATAAAGGTTGTACTTTATAATATTTTGGACAAACATACCCCTACCGTTTTCTTTTCCAATATTATTACCATGCACTTGCATCCACCATATATTTTATTATCTTATTCAATAATAATAATATTATACATTATAATTTGGAGTTATTTCTTACAATATAAATATCAAATGTACAAAAATGCATGTTTACACTATTATTATTATTATTATTATTATTATTTATAATAATTTAAATATTAAAAATCTTAATATAAAATATTAATATTGGGCACATAATTTTTATGAATCCCGCATCTAGTATAATTCATAAATGCAAATGACTCGAGCACAATCTATTCAATTAGAACTTAAGTGAATCATGATGTTAGCTTATTGGGTCAATAAATAATATTTTAAATAATAATTTAATTGAATTAATCAAATTTGATATTAAAATTTTATGATTTGTGCATCGTGGCTTGTCAAATTATATAAATATAAAGTACTTATGACCAATTAAGCTTTATAAATATATCTAATTGACAATGTTTGAACCTTCTAATGGCCCGTTTGGTTCACGGAATAGGCCGGAAATGGCATAGCATTCTCAATAATAGGTCTATTCCTTTGTTTAGTAACCATTTCTATTACCAGGAATATTATTCCTGGTAATAGCCTATTACCTTAAATAAGGTAATAGCTATTACTAGGGGCCCCCTGGTATTAGCCTATTACTGAACCATCAGTAATATATTTTAGAATCTATTTTCTTTTTTACCCTTTTCTTTAACCTAATTTTTTTATCCTATATATAAATTTATCCTATTTCACCACCGTCGTCGCCACCACCATCACCGCCGCCGCCGACACCGCCACCACCATCGCCACAATCGTCGCCGCCCCCGCCACCACCGCCGCCGCCGACACCACCACCACCATCACCACAATCGTCGCCGCCCCCACCACCACTACCACCCCAGCATCACCACCGCCACCGCTGCCGCCACCACCACCACCACCACCGCCACAACCACTGTCCCCCCCCCCCCACCACCACCACCACCGTCACCACCACCACCGTCGCTCCCACCACTGCCACCGCCACCACCACCACTACCACCCCAGCACCACCACCACCACCACCACCGCCACCATCACCACCACCGCCGCCACCACCACCACCGTCGCCCCCACCACTGCACCGCCACCACCACCACTACCACCCTAGAATCACCACGACCACCGCTACCACCACCATCACCACCATCACCACCACCGCCACCACCACCACCACCATCGCCAACATCACATATTTTTATAATGGTATTTATGTCTTTTAAAACATATTTCATTTCTATTCCTTAAATCAACCAAACACTGTAATATAATTCCTAAAGTCTATTCCTTCCGCGAACCAAATAATAGAATGCAATTCCTATTCTATTCCTTGCCTATTCTATTCCTTATGGAATAGCATTCCTATTACCTCAAAATTCATTCCGTGAACCAAACGTGCTGTAAAAGTTAACGAGACAAATCTGATAATCAAATTGTAAATTCAATCAATTTTGAGCTCGAATTTAAGCCATTATAACTATTTTGAGCTCAAACTTGAGGCACCCTTAGTTTACTCAACTTGGCTCCCTTAACATCCTTAGTTTAGGTCACTAGGTTTAAAAATTAAAAAATAAAAAATAAGCAAAAGATGTAATATAACCAATGTTATATTTGTGTCATAATGGAGTGTTTGGTAAATAATTGTTAGCTGGTTGTGTTAGTAAGTTTGACTAGTTGATAGCATTAGTTGATTACACAAAGATGTTTGGTAAATTAGTTGTTAATTAATTGATAGTTGATCACATGCAAAATGCCTTAAAAAAAAAAAAAAAAAAAAAAAACTGCTTTGAGAACTTTTTTTTATTTTAACGTTTTGGAGCAATATGATGCTACAAAAAAATTAAGTAATTAAACACTTATATTGGTTGTTTAACAAAATCAAATAGTTACTAATGCTTGGCTCAAGATATGTGATTTTAGGGAATGCCATTTAATATCCACACTATATTTTTAGCTATTGTTTCGAGGGAATGTGAGATACCATTTCATTTCTTAGCCATTCCCTTGACTTTTAACTCGTTGGTTTTTTTTTTCTTTTTCTTTTTGGGCAACACGATTCGCATATCGTTTAACAAAAAAGAATCGCAGTCTATTAACACTAGTTGCAACGTCTTTCACATCATTAATCATGAGATCAAACACATACTCCCCAAACTCACGTATGCAATGCTTGGAACATCTCTTGCGCATCCATCTCTAGATCCACCACACTAAGGTTCAAACCCGTTGGTTTTTATACCCACTCAAAATATAATATTTCTCAAGCTCAAGCTATTAGGGTTTTTTTTTTTTTTTTTTTTTTAATCATGTACTTATATATTCTATTAGTGCCTTATTTATTTATTTAATTTACTTGTATGTTGTACTATTGCTTTAATTATTTATTTTGATTTTGAAGTTTCTAAAATGCATATGAAAATAGGTTAAGGAGTGTAATTAAGTAAAATAACCATTATAATATAATCGATAATTCTTCAACTAAACATGTCTATATTACATATATTATTTATAAGAGAAAATTTCAATTTTGGTCCATTGACTATTGGAGTTGTGTTAATTGCAACACTTGACTTTCAAAAATGTTAATTTAGTACTTTGACTATGCAATTTCTATCAATTTTGGTCACGCCGGCCAAATTGCCGGCCAAATCTCACCGAATAAATTTAATAGGTCAAATAATGAGGATAATTTAGTCATTTTACTCCTTTTCTCTTTCTTCTCAGGTTCTCCATTACCGGCGACGATGAGTAAATTAAAGATGAGCTTTGGAGAAAGAAAATATGAGTAAATTAAATTGGTTTAGTAACTACAGATCCTGTCATTGCTCGTCTAGCAGAAATCTTGACGAAAATGAAGAGAACTCTCGCTTTTTCCTTCTTCTTCCTTTTATTGATTTTCACCTCCGAATCGCAGCGATCTCCGCCGGCAGTATGCATACTAGGCAGTGGGATCAGCTACTCCTCCGTCGCGCATTTCCTTCGCTCCTATTCCAATCCATCCCAACCCGAAAATCGGCTCCATAAGAATCTTTGAGCGCCATGTTGTCGGCGGCGGCCGCATGGCCACGGTCACCATCGCCGAGATACCTTCGAGACCGGCGGCTCAATTCATCACCCGAAGAACTACCACGCTAGCAACTTCACTAACTTCCTGAATCTCAACGTCAAAACCTCATCATCCGAATCCGATTCCTCGTTTGGCATCTGGGACGGTAATAAATTCATCTTCAAAATCCTGTCTTCAAACTCCAAGCTTCCGATTTGAGAAAATGCTTAAGTGGTGGGGGCTCTATAATTTGACTAGACGGACTCAATATGCTTTAATTTTCTAATGACAGTGCTGTGGGTATGAAAAGATGAGTAAATGAAGAGAAGCTCATTGGAGAATTGAAGAAATCGTCGCCTAGAGAGTAGCTCATCGGAGAAGAAAGGATTGGTGAGTAAAATGACTAAAATACCCTTATTATTTAACCTCTTAAATTTTTTCCGGTGAGATTTGGCCGGCAATTTGACCGGCGTGACCAAAATTGATAGAAATTGCATAGTCAAGGTACTAAATTAATATTTTTGAAAGTCAAGTGTTGCAATTAACACAACCCCAATAGTCAGTGGACCAAAATTGAAATTTTCTCTTATTTATAATCAAATAAAGGAATTTAATTTTTCGAAAATATAATAATCTCAGCAATATAATCGAACATCTATGATTCTATGAAGTAATCTAATTAATATCCCATGCACCAAACGCCCCCTAAGAGTCTAAGACCATCTAATTTTCCCTACAAACTTCTCTCATGAGATGGTATCATCTTTTAGGAAAAATTGTCAAATTGTTCCCCTAAGTCAATCGAATAATGCAATTGGGCCACCTAAAAAAAAACTTCATTCAAATCCCTAAAATTGATAAAATTATTTAATTAAGTCCAAATTGACTTATTTAGCAAGTTAACTCATCGTAAATTTGACACATATTTTTTTTTAAAAAAAAACTTGTTATTTATTTAAGAAATTTAAAAATTTAATTAAAAAAAAAAAGAGGAATACAGCTACCCGCGTACCGGTGACTGTCACCGCAACGAACATCTACAACTGTATAAGAAAGACAGCCATGGCCGTCAAAACAAAATTCAGAATTTTTTATTTTTAAATGGTTATGGCTATCTCAATATGACCGTCTTTCTTAGACAAGCGTTGACTGTATTTTTTTTTTTTTTTGAATTTCTTAAATAAATAACAAGTAAAAAAGATAAAAATAAATAAAAAAGACACGTGTCAAACTTACGATGAGTTAACATACCAAATAAGTTAATTCAAACTTAATTGAACAATTTAACTAATTTAGAGGATTTGAATGAAGGTTTTGTTTACTTATATGGCTCAATTGCATTATCTATTGATTTAGGAGGACAATTGGACCCTTCTAAAATGAATTTAAAAAAGAATACCCGCTCCGACATTATTAATGGGACAAGAATTCAAAGTTCAAACGCGGTATCTTTTCTCTACAAGTGCTCATGCTGACATGCTAAAGTTGTGAAAGCTAATGATGATGGGGAGCGAGCCCGCATTGGTTGGACGGAAGCCGGCGAGACGCCTCGGCGGGATGTCCGATGCGCTCTCTATTGCCGCCGATATTGGCTTCTCCGTTTCGCCTTCTCCTTCCCAGGTAATTTCCCCCCGAATTGGCCTATTTATTGAAGTTACACTTCTTTTTGGAAGTGATATGTAAATGCATTTTCGCATTTCCCCAAATTTTGCAAATTTACCCAGTAATGTGTAAATGCATCCCCGATTGGTTTCACCGTAAGACCTATTAGGATATTTATCAGCTTAGTTATATTCAGGAACTACAAGTCAGATTTAATTACAGTGGCGTTTATCTAGTGAGGGTGGTGATTTCATTTTTTAACCCTTTTTCGCTAATGCACATTAATGCAGCTTATTATATACTAACTATTTCCCCTGTTGTTATGGCTTTCAGTGTGAATGGTGATTCTGATTTTTTTTTTTTTTTGTCGTTTTGTGGTTTAGGAGGAGGTCAAGAGTTTATTGGGTGGCACTGATGGAAAGGAGGATAGCTTGATAAGGGTTTTAAAGGAACTTACTGCTGTGCAAAGGAAAACTGCAGATTTGCAAGTGGAGCTTCAAGGCCGAAAGGTAATTCTTATACTTATCTGCTTGCATATTACCTGCTAGTTCTGGTTTTATGGAAGAAGGGAAACTGGGGAGGAAAATTCAGCCCCTATGGTGATTGTATCCTTGATTATATATGCTCATTGGTTCTTTGCTGGTGAACACAGATGTGTTGAGTACCCTATCACGAACTTCGTGTTATTCTGTTCTTGCTCATTTACTGTTCATGGGCTTATAAGATGCCATCATAGATTTGTTTCTCAGTTTCTCATGAGGAAATTTATGTAGTTGTGTTTAACAATTTCAGGAGGACAAGAATGTTGCTCATTTAACACATGCTAGTGAAATGGCAAACAAAATTGAGACCTTGACCAGGATCACTACTATATTGAAAGATGTTATTCAGAACAAGGTAACTTACTCAAATCACACATTGTTTATTCCTTCCCCTTCGTTTTGTTTTTGTTTTTTGTTTTTTATTTTGTTAAACTTTAAATAAATAATTTAAATTCAAGTTTCCCAGATTGGTAGTTAGATATTTTCTATCTACACTGGTGAAGTGAATACGACTGACATTGTGATCACTTCCTCAATTATTGTTTTTTAAAAAGCTTTCCAGTTTCTGGAAGGGGTTAAGTATCAACTGCAACATAGGTAACATACCATTATTATTGAACTTATTATTGCTTTCCAGTCTCTCCCTAATTTGCTTTATTTTTTATTTTATCTTTTGCAAAAGCTTCTTCTCTAAACATATTCAATGGTTCTTACAGGACCGCATAGTTGCCCGGCTTCAACAACCATATTCATTGGATTGCATTCCAGTGGAAGCAGAATATCAGGTTTGTTATCTAGCAAAGCTGAATAAAAACTCTTTTATATCGTGTAAATGTTTGTACTGTGGTACATTCACATATTTATGAAATGTCTGGGTACTGTTTGCCAATGTATAATTTTAACTTCTCCCTAAGTGGTCCAGGTTCTTTGAGGACGAATTTCCCAACTGCATCAATCATAGGAGTAATATGTGCTATAGAAAGCATACAAAATGATTCTCGGATCTTTTTCACTTCTTTGGATCAATGTTGTAAAAGGCGCTAAACGCTAGTCGGGAGCCTAATAATAATAAGAAAAACACAGCAGTGTACACATTGCGCACACACACACAAAAAAAACACTTGGCCGAGTTGGCCGCCTAAGGGTAAAATCCCCTTGGTCTGGGGGCACCTAGGCGGCCGCCTAGGTCGATTTTTACAACAGTGCTTTGGATGTCTTGTTTTTGAGCATCATACTCAGTAAATCTACATGGAGTAATAACATCCCAAAAAGTTCATTTTCTTAGAATCACAGTAACTTTATAGTTCATGCTTAATTACCAGAAACTGGGTAATACAGGGGCAATATGCAGTAATGGCTGATTGCTAGTCCAGTAAACTGCAGCAGTTCATTTTCTTAGAATCACAGTAACTTTGTTGCCTAACATGCCAGTGATTATGTCCAGAATCAATTTTCTGAGCTTCTTATGAGGGCTGCTAGTGACTATGGCGCATTGACAGCCTCTGCAGCAGACCTCCAATGGAGTCAGAACTTTAAAGAACCACCATCAGTATGGGGGGTATGTAAATTGTTGCACTTTTTACACTGACTGGGTCCATTTGGTAAAGCGGATTTGTTGACTTAATCATCCCAACACATGCAGGAAATGCTTCGTCCAATTCCTGTCGCTTTATCTTCATGTACCAGATTCTTTGAAGCCACGTCAGCAATGCGGGATTCATTTGCCACACTCCAATCTCTCAAATCTGGCCATCCTTCCTCAGGAGCAGCCCCAAGCAATGATCCTTCTCAAAGAACACCCTTGGATTCTGATTGCGTGACTCCAGTGCAGAGAACTGAATCGAGTTTTGATGATTCGAGTGTCAAAAGCCTAAGAAGGCAAGAAATTGAACAGCAAGATCCAGAGGACATGAATAGTATATCATGGCCTCTAGTTTAAAAAGTTGGTGTATAGCTTTGAAAGGCCAAGAAAAGTGGAAAGATAATTTATTCACACTGCTGTGTCTATTACCTGCAAATTCTGTTCCTATATCTGTAATTTGATTCTCCAGCAGAGAAGTTTGTAAACTACAACCTTAATCAAAGGAAACCTTGAATTTGTAATGCAAGATATGTCTGCTTTATTGCTGTACAATCTTACATCCTTATAAACCGAGCTGTTCAGACTCATTCTAGTAGGAAATCAAAAACACAAAAGTAAATTACTCAAATATATATACCCTTTAAATCTACTTGAAACTGGTTTCTCTAGAGCAAGAAGTCAAGAGCTTGATTAATAACTCTCTTCCTTTTATCATTGCGGTGAAAAGGACCATCACTTCCTCAGACGAGTCGAGGGGGGAAGAATGGAATTAGCCAGCTCCTCGTTCACCTCAACCGGAAGTGGTGGCATCCGAGCTACGAAGTTCTGCTGCTCATTAAGGCTGTAGATTTGTTCAAGCCACATCAACACATAATCTCAGTGAATACAAGACATTAATAATCGAGATTTTGATGTTTTGATCCTATGGAGCATGTTAATGTTGCAGATTTCATTTCAAACGAAAACTTTTAAAACAATAACCAGTAGCCAATTAATGAAGAAAGGTCCATACTTGCTTAATATTCTGAAGAGATTATCGCGAGCTTGACACAAGAGAACAATGTTGTCCTGTATCTGCAAGAAACACATTTAAAAACTCAAAATCTTATAAACTTGCATTTAATGTTATTGGAATACGCAGAAGAGCCTCTATCGATATATTCCCAATAGTTTGATGTTTAGAATGTAAATTTTTGTCTAAACACTATTCTGCCTGGCCAGATATATACACATTTTGATGATGATATAACATTAGTGACAATTCAAGAAAATCTTTAAAAGCGACACTTACCTGATTTGAGGAGAGATTTGCAGAAATCTGATCAAAGACCTGAGAGTTAAGTTGAAGAAGTTGTACCGTGGCTACAAAGCAAAACAACCTTTTCTTTCAGTGGAAAGTATCTTGGCATACAACATGCAAACTCAAGGATAAGTTGTCCCTAAATTGCGTTTTCAGCTGCTAAAATCACTAGTGTGATCTCAATATTGGATTTTCACTGTTTATAGGTATATTCTTAGATGGTGAGTATAATCAAACCGTTTAATGAGGCTGAATTGCCATTGCTATTGGTAGCTGTTCCTTGGGCGTAAGGAGAAAAACCAGGCTGGACCATTAAGTTGGAACTTGTTGTTGATGCGGGATCGATCAATTTGTCCTGAGAAAGTAAGGATTAACGGTCCTTAGGCCCTCTAGTTGTATACAGAAAGAGTACATTCATGCAAGGCAGACAAAACACAAGTTCTTAAACGTTAATTCATAGCCTCACAACAGTATCTCAAGAAACAAAACTAAGCAAAAACTGAGTGAACACTACTATAGCAACTGGCAGATGGCAGTTATTTCACAATTCTTAGAAAAGTTTGCATTATTAGAAATGCTAAATCTGGATTCAGAAAACTTAAAGCTCTCCCGATAACATTTGCTTTGCTGCCATCTTTGGAGCTAAACTAATGTTGATAAGTCACTATTTTATTTTCTTAAGTTACAAATTTAAACTCTGGTATCCAACTTAATAAAGCACGATAATCGTACTAATGAATAGCCTGCAAATAACTCTTGGAACCAGTCTATTTAGTATTCTCGATGGATCTAGAGATTCCAATACTTCTATGATACAAACATGGCACAATAATGAGAGCACTAACCTTTTTATCTTTCATCTTCCTCAATGGATTCAGATCCTCTTTCCTTTTCCTCGCGTTTTCCTTTTTCTACATAGAGCAAATAACTCAATCAGCCTTACACCTAATTTAGCAACTTTTATGCTTCTTGTGAGGCCTTGTTTGACTATCACGGTAATTGAAAAGCATATAATTATCCCGGATAGCAGGAGAAGCTTGTAAGGGTGAAACTTACCGCCATCCATCTGCAGCGCAACGCCACATCCCGGACCGTCTTATTATTCAGCTGCACAGCAATTTTTGCGTAGCGAACTATGTTTGAATCATATGCAAATCTGCAATTATTGCACATAACTATGAACCATATTTGCAAATAGTTTTTTTTAAACACAGTAAAGAAACTAGGAGAGTTACATGCCATACAAAATATCAGCTTCATTGTCACTTATTGCAAGTTTATTTAAACATCAAAGATCCAAATTATTTTATTGAAGTAACAATCCCACAATAATAACACGAGTAATGACTCACTAGCAATGTGATCCAAGATTTAATAATCCAAGAATCAAGAAAGCATGTCAAAGAACAACCTGGAAATCGAAGTAAACCAGAGAAATAATGCTCAACTTACAATCACCCAGAAAATGAAACAAGCAAACCTTCACATCTTATATGAAGTCCATATCATGAAGAAGAAGTATGAGTGGGTAGAGAAACAGCCCCCCTAAACCACAATAAATATAAATTTAATAACCAGAGAGCTAATGCAGCAGGCAACATAAACAACACAGTTTAGTCTTTCCTTTACCAAATCCCAAATTTTTTATTTATTCACAAACACTCTACCAACTTTACTTTCAAATCATTAAATTAAAGAAAGATAAGGAAAAGAAACAAAAAGAAGAGGAAATTGTAGCACAGTAGAATAGATTGAAAGGTGGAGTTTTGGAAATTGAGTTACTTGACAAGACATTCCTCCAACATAGCCTGTTCTTCAGCACTCCACTCCATGTTAATCTTCTGGTTATTCTGGAATCTCATGGGCGGAGCAACAAAAACGCCCGAACCCGAACCCGCACCCACACCCACAGAATTCTCTACACCGCCCGTCGAGTTCTTACCCTTCCCCCCATTGTTTATAGCAGCCATAACTCCACACACCCAAATAAAAAACACAACTTTTTCATACACCCCTTCCTTTCTATGTACCCAAAATTACTGTACACATGTATGTATGCGGCAAGAATGAGGTAAGGGCACCAAAAAAGCACGATTTCAAGAAATCATAAACACAAGAAAGGAAGGAGGTGGGGAGAAAAATATGAAACAAGGTAGGGAAATAATTAAGTTGCTGGGTATGGAGAGTGGGTGTTGAGATTAATTGAAAGATTCGGAGAAAGATGCATGGAATCAATGGAGTTGGGTGTTATCTTCTTCGGAGCAGGGAGGAAGGGAGAGGGGGTGCAAGGCAATTGCAAAGCTACAGAGTCAAAGAAAAAGGAGGGAGGAAAAGGAGGGAATCTAAGGGAGCACGTAGAGTTTATGAAAAAAGGAACTTTGTATAGTATACGCGTGCGAACTCGTAGTATATATATATGTATAGTGTACTTCTTGCATGTACATTCAACTATGAAGTATGAACGTAGGCTTAGCTTGTGTGTGTGTGCTTGCAACAACGTCGTACCAATACACAGACATGAAACGCGATTTCAACGCCGCACAAATGACTTTTGACTGGACTTTCAATCGGTTATGGGACAAAACTTTCTCTATCCTTAATCCTGTGACAAAAGTGGAATCGTCTAGGGCACAGGAGTCTCACACCCAATCTAATAGGATTGTAAAAAGATAAATCAGATTCAATTGATTAATGATTTTTGTTCATTACACTAAAAGAAACTATCATTTAAAAAATTACTTTCACAAAATATATTTTTAACAGAAAATGCAAACGCTTTTTAGAACTCTACCCTCGGGCTTGTTGAAGTTCCAGGTTGAATCCTCAACCCCAGCCTGATAGAGCATGAGAACGTTATTTGGAACTCCACCCCCTGGCTTGTTAGAGTTCCAGGTTGAATCCTCAACCCCGGCCCAATGTAACAGAGCATAAGAGGAGGCTCTGACTTTGAAAGGTTACTCCCACACTAAAGCTGGTGAGACTTTATCACTTGTTTATTTCTGTGATCAATTAAGTTCCTCATATGAACAAGTAGTTCTATTGTGCGTACGAGTGGATAGCTCTCAGACTTGAGTAACATGCGATACATTCACAATTTACTCTTCTAATAAATCCTAGGAGTGGGATTCTCAGGATTCAGGTTATGGTCCTAAGGATTGAAAATGAAAAATTAAAATTAATATAAAAATTTATAGTGTTGCAATATTGTGAGTGCATTGTATGCTTTTCTCGATGTAACATTGACAAAATACGATGTACAATTTTACAAAACATATAACATTTTATTTATGCAATATAAAATTTCTTCAAAATTGATGAACAAAAGTAAAAATATTATTACAGTCGGACATGGAGCCAGTCGTTGTGCACAGTATATTTTTATATGTTGATGGATAAGAGCACAATTTAGATTTAGGGATGTGAAAATTATATAATTATTGTTAGCCACTACATTATTAATGCATCCACACAAATTATAAATATGTTTCGTATATATAAAGAATGAGTCTTAAATGGAATCTTATACGAAATCTTTTTATGGTTTGTTTTTGGTCTCTACAACTTTATATTTTTTACCTAACCGAATATAAAGTTTCCATTTATTCAATGTTGTCATTTTAGCATTTATGAATAAACAAAAAAAAAAAATTAGTATTTTGAGTACAAAATGGTGGTAGGGTCGTTTACTACTTTAATCCCAATGTAAATTTATTTATTTTTTTGGAAAGGAAATTTTTAAATTTTTTTTATAACCAAGTTTAGCTTATATCAATAAATCTATTCAATATAAGGGAAGATGAGAAAGTTAGGAAATGGTTTAGTGTACTGGTGTAATATTTTTATTTTTATTTTTTGTAAAATACGAGATGTTTCAGGTCTTTTCCCATCTGTCTTACGGTCCGAATCCACCCAACTAATCATGTTCGCTCCGGGAGACACAAGAGCTTGCCCAAGGGAATTGTCACTTGTGTGAATCAAATACGGACCCTTTGGGACAAATGACTAAAAACACAACAATGTGACACAATTGAAGGCTATATTTACAAAAGTGAATAACTAGTGATACACATGACTAGTCAGAAATCATAAACAACTCAAGGGCAAAAGAGTAATTTGTTCGTCCATTTGAGAAAACTCTGGAAATCGTTGCAACGAATAAGCCACGAATTCTTCTGAAAAAAGATTGAAAAATCAACAAAAACAAACTCTACAAAAATTATATTTTGTTCATATCTAGCTCATACCCTATAGAAAATTAAGATTTAATGTAGAAGTTGAGCATGTCAATTATATTGTTGGAATGAAAAATGACAAATTACATCCTCACGAAATGCAAAATGAGATTGATTGTCCGGTAGAGAAGATTGGGAATGGGCATGAAAAAATGGAGGGGTAAAATAGGGAAAGTGTGGAAGGAAGATGATTGGGAGAGAGGGTTTGGTTTTGTCAGTTGCGAGAAAGGGAAAGGGAGAAGAGGGATTTTGGAGTGCTTTAAGGCGAAGGGAAGTGGGAGCTGACGCACTGACAGCTTCACAAACACACACACCCTTTTGGAAAGCTTTTAAAGCTCTCTAGGGTTACTTTTGGTTTTTTCCCCTCCTTTATTTTTTGTTTTTCTTAATTTGTTTATCTTCTTTCCTCTCTATTGCTCTCCCCCCAAGATTCTTTAATTATATATTATATATACTTAATAATAAGCACAAATAATCTATATATATTTTTTCCCACTTGCAAAGGAATTGTGAAAGTTTGCCTCCCCATTCCATTCTTGCTTTCCTTTTTCCCTAGTGGGTGGATCAATTTTAACAAATTACAAAGTTTCAAAACTTAATAGCTCAGTCTAAAATGTTTAAAATACTTTCACGTTCTGGATATACGAAATATTATTTTGGAAATGAGAAAAAAGTTTACTTCTATTGATTATTGTGTTATTGACATATTTAATTATATTTTTCAGTTTTTTATTTTTATTTGTTTGTCGTAAATTCGTAATTAGTTGCATGTTTAAATTCCTATTATTCAAACTTTAAGAAAGAGGGCTAACATTTAATTTTGTCATTCAAGATTATCCCAATATGTAATTTATCTCTCCTAGTCTTATAAATTCTTTTAATTGAAAGATGGAATTACTTATTAACAGTGGAATGACAACAAACTAAATGGATAACTAATTGTAGCAAGAAAATAAAAGTTAATTATGTAATGAGGCAAATTTAAAACAATAAGATTAAATATGATAATACTGCAATAATCAATAACTAAAAGTAATAGGTTGGTATTAATACGCTACTCAAAGTAATATTTTTTTTTAAAAAAAAAAAAAGAAAGAAAGAAAGAAAGAAGAAATTTGTGCCCCAAAAGGTGTGGCCAAGTAATTAAGTGGAGCATGCTTATTATACTTAAAAGTCACGAGTGTATGTACGAGTTCGATTATTGTTAATACTCTCACAATCGAGTCCGTCACACAAAGTCTTCATAATGCGGTTTACTATTTTTGTATGATCAACCTGCAAATTATTACATATATAAGAGTGAAGTTTACCCAATGCACACCTTTAAATAGTGATTGTAATCATCAACAAAAAAAAAAAAAATGCTCATTAGAAATTTTAGTATGAAATTGTTCGATTTGAAAAAGGTGTGTAGTGAGTTTGGTCAAATTCGTAGTGACTATAAATAAAAATGATACTTTAACCAAAAAAAAATTATTACAAAAAATAAAAGATTGAATATCCAATACATCGTAGAAATTTTGCTTTACTATCCAATATAAATCCATAAATAAAGAAAAAATAGAAAAAAAAAAGTGGATAAAAGCATAACAGTACTCTACAATAAAGCTTTTCATATACTTCAGGTCTTCAGTCTTCAGGAGCATAAGGGCATATTAATGATAAATATCAATTTGTACCCTTTTAATTTTAATTTTAATTATTTAAATAAAAAAAAAAAAAAAAAAAAAAAAAACGAATAGACACATAGATGCTTTACTTGCAGTTGAATTAGGGTTGTCTGCAGTTAGAAGGAAAAGAGATATTTTCCTATTTAAGCAGTGGAATCTCTCTTAGACCCCGTTTGGTAGTCAAAATGGAAGAAAGTTTTTTGTTAATTAAAAAGTGGAACAAATATTATTATATGTTTGGTGTGTGCTTTAATTGTGAAAGATTAGGCTAACTAAAGATGTAATTTTTTTGAGATGTGAAAAAAGTTATTCCAATCTAATGGGGGGCTAGATTCTTTTTTTTTTTTCCTCAAATAACTTATAATGAGTAAGTTTTGTCCACTTATTTCTAGTTTCTCGTTTCTTATTGTTATGGGGAATTAAAAGTATTTTCATTAGAAAGTTATGATAATGTTTGAAATAAATTTTTTAAAGAATTTAATTGTTATATTTTAAAATAATACGTTTTAGTGAATTATTATTATTATTTTTAAATGATGGTGGAAAAACATTGAATGGCCTTGATGGTTTTATTGGATTAGAATCATCATGAACTAGGTTGGTAAGAGTAAAATTGATAATGAATACAAATATTAAATAAATTGGATGTTGGATCATATGTGATCTTTTGGTTCGTAATGAATAATATTGAAAATTGGTCTCGATTCTAGGCCTAACAAGCTATATTACAACATATAAATAAATTAGTCTAAAAAGAAAAGAATACAATAGACTAGATAAGTCAAGTCTTCGTTGAGTGATGATGATGTCTGAAGAATATTCTAGACCAATTATTTATAGTATTTTTTGAGACTAAAATATTGAAAAAAGAGTGAACCAATGCCCAGCAATTCCATACCACACATGTCCATCCAACTAACTGCCTTTCGACACCCTCCCCTTCGCACGCCCTTGGGCCTAAAAGTCGGTTGGCTCCTATCGTCCATAGCTACCTAAAAAGGCTCCTCACCGCCCGATCTTCTCAAGGACAACAATAGTCGGTAACTGTCAGTAGTGATTAGCGATGAGCCCTGGCTGCTTGTTGTGCATGGCAATAAGGTGGTCGGCGGCCAACCATTTGACGGGCTCGGGGCACCATGTTGTCTTGCCACCCTTCCATCCCCATTTTTCACATTTGTTCCTTATGATCTCAAATTTATGTCCATTCTCACTTTTGGCCTCTTCATAGTCTTTGCACTTTAGGATACTATACTTTATATCTTACTGCACTTTGACCTCCAAACTTTCCTCTTTCTGTACTCTTTACCCCATCTCTTCCATCTTTGCACTCTCACCCCTTAACTTTGATCCTTATCTCAATTCGCACCCATAACTCTCTTCCATTCTTACATAGATTCTTCAAACCTTACCCACGAGTTCCAATAATCCTTTGGACCTTATTAATTCTTGAGCCTTCACTTTTCAGGTTTCAATTGATCTTGAACATAGAGTCCATTCCCTATTAGACCTTTTAATGTGAAAAAATTTAACGGACTATATATATTGTGATAAGAGATTTCACTCTTAAAATGACAATTATACCCCATAGTCAACAAATTGTTGATTAAATAAGTATTACCAAACTAGCACTGCATTGTTTTGGTATCATTTATAGTCAAAAGTTCAGTTTCGATGATAAGTTGGAAAGATTTGAGAACCTAAATTATTCATATTCTTTTTTCTGTTTGCCCCTTTATATTTCCTTATCAATTTTGCCAACAAATTATTATCAATTTACTATATATATAAGGAATATAAATGCCAACTAGCTTGTAGCTCAATGACACCTTTGTAGTGTTTTAATAAGTTGAGAAAATATATATGAACGGATATTACATTTTAATACAGTTAATAGTACTCAAAAAAAATATACGGAATAAAAATTGATATATTGCTTATTATTATTGTTATTGATGGGACATCTTATGTCATTTATTTCACTTTGTTAATTTCCTTGAATGAAGAATATATATTGGAATCGTGTAATTATCTACTTCTCGAATTTCACATTTATTCCAATAGATTTTAAATATAACCTTACTTCATAAAATATTTCACTGAATTTTACCATCCTGTGAAGATATTTTGAATATTTTAAATTTAAAAGTTTTTTTTTTGAAAATATTTTAAATTTAAAGGTTAAAACTAAAAACCGTAATTGGAATTTATCAGAGTATACAAATGGAATAAAAAGTGAAAATAATTCATCATTTTACCATACAGGAATTGCAATTGGAGTACATTACCCTTTAAAACAGGAGGCCTAATGACGTTACTTGTGGAGGGATCAACCAATTTACGAATTGTCAATAAATATAAAGAGTTATATTATACGGAGTAACATTTTTTTTTTCAAACATAAAACACAGTGCACGAAATTCTCGTATATAACAAATTTAAAGGTTTTATGATTCTCACAATTATTACATTCTCCACCACCCGTATGACTTCAACTACAAGGGCAAACCGGATCCTGCACGAGCCTAAGCCTCGAATAATTTTAGAGAACAGATCCCATTAAAAAGAATGGGTGGTCCTAATTTATGCACAAGTTTATTTCACACTAGAAGAGAATGCATACTTGCAAATATTTACTATAGCCCACATGGTTCTGAAAAAAATGAATTCTTTGCAATTAATTGGCAATTCAACAAAGGTAAATATAATCTCACCAATGAATGAGAACATTGTTATGACACTGATTAAGGAAAATGCAGAATGCCAAGAGCGATAATATGAAGACCCTTTTGTTTTTTCCTACTTCCCCCTCCCCCTTTCTCCCCGATCCGCAAAAATGTTTGCTGATGATGTTAATATTCCTTTTTCCTGGAAATAAACGGCAGCGGTTCATTAAAATTGGTTTTACACAGTCCACCATGTATCCGACAGGACAAGGAAATTTGTGATCATCTAACCTGCAAAACATATTCATGTGCTAGTCTGAGTAAGCAAAGCATGCTTCTTGCATATTGACCTGTAGACAGAATCAATAATGATATTTAGCATTTCAAATTTTATATTAGAACTTTAGAAGGTTCATAAGTAACATAAAAGCATCAGACTTAAATTTAGTAATTATCAACATAAAGATAGGTCATTTGTAATATATTCAACCAACTTATACATCTTGCCCAAACCCCTAGAGATTCATTCTCATTAGCCATATTTTCAAGCAGTACTGTAGCTCAAACACTAGATTATACCACATTTTAGATTTTGTAATTTGAGCCCACTGTCAAATCACTCAAATAATAATTAACATAAGCACTTAATTACAAAGTACAATCACAAGCTTTATGAAAGGTAAATTATATTGCTTCCTTGAAAATTATTACCAATGAAAACCCTAAACCAGATGAAACAATAGAGAGAGGGAAGGGGGACGCAGTAAAAGCACAAAAAGCATATAGAAGTATAGAACCAAATGCAAATATTAAAAATGGTTTGCTATCCACTTGTTTTAGATTTTAGTTTTATTTACTTTTTAGAATGTTATTAGTTGGTCTAGAACTTCATGCGATATAGGTTTTGTTTTCTTGAACCAAAAAAAAAAAAAAAAAAAAAAAAAAAAAAGAGAAGGAAACAACTGACACAAGAACAGAGTCATGGAGAAACAAGTCTATATTGCCAAAATCAAGAATAGTTTGCTTATAGTGGAGGACATATCCAACCCTAAAGAGAGCAAATTCTACATTTGACAGTCCAAGAATTTGGGCACAAGTTTCATTAACTTGGATAGACAGAATGCACATACAACACACTATCGATCTATATTGAGGACAATTACTGAGCTAAAAGTACATCAGTCACGGAAGGAAAAGAGAAATTCAGGGATTACCCTGGAAGAGAAGTGGTTGGCTTTGAGTACTAAAAGAGGGATGAATCCTCATGCATCTAGCAGTTTTCACTTAGATCTCCAATATAAACTCAACTTCAAAAGTGTCACAAGGATTATGAATGTGACTTGCCTTTGCCATCCAAGATGGCAAACCCTCAGTCTCCATTTTGAGCTACTGGGCTTCTGCTTTTGATCAGCTGCTTCAAGGACCATAGGAACATTAGGGCAGAGAACATATGGAATAAGATGAAAACTTTACTTCCCAAAGGAAATGGCACACCATTATATTTAAATACGCTTTAAACTGTCAAGATTATTTACATAATTAAACCTCAAATAACCATGAAAATTTGGCATATCAACAACAGTTTCCAATTCCATAATATTCAAACATCATGATCTCTATCAAGTGAAATGTGTGCAATAAGAAAAAAAGATGCAAAAGAATCTCATTCAAAGCAGGAAATAATTAAAGCCTCAAACAAGGTTATAGCAAGAACAACCTTGAAAAAATACTTCTTCCGCAGTTTGATGGCCGTACGCACACATCTCTTCACCCGAATCTTTATCGCATTGTCGTTAAATATCTGAAATATTTCAACATTGATAATTAAGAAACTGCTAGGAAGAAACCATTACTAGTCCTGAGATAACTGATAAATTCAGTATCCAAAAGTGTTAAGCATGCTTTCCCCCTCCTCTTGGTACTTTTATCTTTACCAAGGAGCACAGACCACTAGATCAGTTGAGAAAAAAATGCCCACCCACATTATGCTATCAATGTACCTTGAGATGCTTTTAAAGGTATTCAAGTATGATGTAATTATATTATGGGATGAATAAGAAAATGAATAGAGAAACATCTTAGCAGGAGACAGATATACACAATAATAACAAAGGCAAAGTGCATTAAGTTCAGTGTTAAAACATGTTAATTGAGCCATAAGAAAACATATGGCACAAGCCAATACGTCTTCCCACCATTTATTTAGCATACACATAACACACTCTCTAAATCATTAGAAACAATAAGAATGCAAATCAAGAACAAAATAATTTTATTTTCACCCTCAATGTTTAGTTGTGATTCTGTCCCCAATGTTAGTGTTCGTTTAGTCATAAATGTTTCCTTTTCATTTCTAGCAAGTCTCCAATCACTATCAATTTTCCATAAGGTTGTTGGGCCTTTCAAATGGCCAACAATATCCTAGTGGAAGATTACTTTCTATCAATTGCTCCCCTAGGGTAATCCTTTACTCACTGAAAATGTAAGTGGAAGACCACTTAAAATCTTGTTTGAAGCATTGATAATGAAATTGACACTGAGAAAAATTTAGGGAAGAAGTCACGACAATGCTAAAAATTGAGGATGGAAAAAAAATTACTCAATGAATAAATATTCCAGCTACTCCAAGAATAAATAAAAGGATATTCATTTTGCACTAAAGCAAATCAAGTCAATATGAAAACAAATCTTTAATCACAAGATCATATGGATATACATAGATCTAGACAAGGAAACAGCATGCAGATTTGACGAACTATAAGTTGCACCAATTTGAAAAGTTATTGCATTTCATTCACCTATGCATGACTACAGTATTGTATTAACATATAGCAAAATAACTCAATGGTCATGCAGAGCAAAAACCAAAAAATAAGTGTTACACAAGAAATGCATGTTAACCCCTGACCCGAAATGATTCAGTCTGCCAAATTATTACTCAGAAATGGACAATGTGGAACATAATAAGCTTCAATTTTACAATAAAAAGAACTTAAGTTGAACCTGCCTTTATCATATCATCAAATGAACGGGTTTCTTTAATAATCTTTTGGCGGTTCATAACTAGTATAGCTGCCACACAAAAAACTGGAAGCTCATCATCACCACTCCACATCGATGACACAGCAGCACTATTCTGTATGTGTTCAGTTTTTGACCAGAAATTTCTAGTCAAACCACAAAATGGATGAGCCAAAGGTGACTTAATTTCAGTGTTCTCAGAGATGGCATGTTCCACATTTCCATGTTTTGAGGGTGATTCATTTGAATCTTTACTTTTATTATCAACACTTCCTTTTCCTAATTCAACATCTAGTTCCTTTGGAATCTGGATGACCAACAATTCTGGACAGTTCTTTAGATTGCAAGGCATAGATTTTTTAAAATCAGCAGCCCACATCATCTGCAAGGTGAAAATAATAAACCACCACATCAGCTTAACAGTTAGTAGACACTATTGTGATTATGATTTGAATCTTATGCATCTGCACTTTCTGTCAGTGCAAACATGTTTTTCATATTGAAAATAAAATTTTAAAAATAATAGTAATAATTGGACATGAAATTTGGAGTGCCGGAATGTGCTTATGGACTACCCAGGGATTGTTAGTGTCTGACGCTGACACAGACCTTAAAATTTGGTGTCTGAGCTTTGTAGATCATAGTACATGCTTAAATGTAGTTCCCCAAGTGGGTATTCATGAAACTACTGACCAATACTCATAAATAATAATAATAACAACGACAGCAACACATACCTCCCACAAACAAAGAGCCTCATCAAACGATAACTCCCGACGAAAGAGTACCAGCAGCATCCGGAAGGCAAAATGAAGGCTCTCGGCACCTATATTTGACAGGTGAGAAAACATTTCTCGGTCGGTAAATTCCAAGATATGCCATAGTGTTTGCAACTGCTTCATGACACCAGTTGGGCCTTCCATCTGGAAATTATCATGCTAAAAGAGAGAGGGAAAAAGAAGAAGAAGAAGAAGAAGAAGAAGAAGAAGAGGAAAGAAAGGATTTACAACCTTAAAACCGGTGAAAGAAAAGCAAACAAAATTGGAACAGATTTTCTTTTTAGGATATACCGTTCTTCGTATAAGCATTTCAAAGCACCAAAAAGCATCAGCATTATCCTCAAAAAGAACAACAAAAGGAGAAAGCAAATCACTCATTCCTGCAGGAAAGTTAATGTAAGAGTCAGAATTGAATATCAAAGACCATGCCTCTGAACATTCACAATTATGATAGAGTGGAGAAAATTCAATGAGAAGAAAAAGATACAACCTTGGCAATATCCTGTTGCAGGATCAACCCATGCATAGACAGCAAGTATGTCTGACATCCTAGCCAAATTTTTTGTATCCCCATAAAATTCAAGATGACTGTCCGTTCTAACTACATCAACAACTAAACACCAGAAAATTGAAACGCTCTTCAAACACAATGATCTTTAAGTTATAAAAGAAAATCGACGAATCATGTCAGGGAAAAAATCAGAGAAAAGAATTAGTTACTAATACCTATTCGATGAAGCGTCCAGAGCCATTCAGACACTCTTTCTTCATTAAAAGCACCTCCTTCAGATGTAGTCACATTCGTATCTGCTGTATCAGGTGCATCAGAAATTCTAATCCTGTCATAGATATCCATTTTATGCTCCACTTTTTTAGATTGTGAAATGGAATCAGTCACATCAGGACAAACTATTTCAATTTCAGATTTCAGTGAAGGCAAGGAATCATAAGATTGGGTAACATTTGATTCAATGACTAGATCAGCATTATTTTGTATGCTAAAGCTGTGCATACGTTCATCTCCATATCGCAATTTACGCCGTATATATCTACTGTCATGTGACCTGTATAGTTTCTTATTTTTGCTATTCTTCTCAAACAAATCTGTCACGGGCAAAGGAGGGAAGTCAAAATCATTTCCAGTTACATATTCTGATCCATGTGCTTCTGAATCAACTATGGGGGAACTACAACTATATGGACCAGGAGTAGGCAAAGAACTGAAAGAGTCACATGCTGCACCATCTGTGCTTCTCCTCACACTTACAAGGTCACCAGGATCACTAAAGATTTCCCCTGCATTTGATGCATTTGTAAAATTGTTGTCCTGATCAGTGTAACTGCCTAATTTGTTAGTATCAACACTGAAAGCTTGAGCATTTTCAACTTCTGTTTCCCTTCTTCTATCCCCTCTAGAACTTGTTCTCATATCCATAACTTTGGACCCTACAACATAAGCAAGGGTACCAGTCCCAATGCTGGAATGCATTCTTTGGCACAGCTTTTCAAGGTCTCTATAGCGTTCCCTGCATACACATTTTATAGATTTGTTATATCCAATTGTCAATCAGGTTGTTGAATAGCATTTCTTCATTCCTCCACAACAAATTAACTTATGTATTATAGATATTTACTATATTAATCATGTTAAATAATACTAAATGATTAGTTACATACAAAAGGAAAAGGAATCCCTATAATCTGTACTGTTAAAAAAATCCAGAGCTGTGAGAGAGATGAATAGAAGCAGGAAATAAAACGAAACAGAATAAGAAAAGCAAGGAAGATAAGGAAACTGAAAAAGAAAGAGGCAGAAGTCAGGGTTGAATTTTGTTTGTGGACAACACAAGTTAATTTAATTTTGCTTTAATTTACTTTGGAACTTTAACTTGTAAAAAAATACTAATAATTTTTTTTAAAAAAAGGCAAAAATCTATCTTTTTAGCAATGTATCTCATTAGCAGTAAATTTTAAGCTTGGACAAGAGAGCCCTGCTCTAGAAGAATTTTAGTGCCTCTGTAACAATTTGAAATTGAGCTTTGCCCACACTTCCATGTAAGAAATCAGTTCCTATTTACTAAACCATATTATAAAAATGTTAACAAAGATGATAACATTGATGATCAAGACCAAAATGGTGGTGAAAACAACATATTTTAGTGACCAGAATGGCCAATACCTCCGAGCAGTCCTCAGTTGCATTCGATACTCTGTTGTGCTGCTTAGGGCGTAACAGCCCAAAAGAAATTCCCAAACTTCCGGTCTTATAGATGGATCGACACCCTATCATGCAAGAAACAAAACATTTAGCTCTATAAGGACAATCTAAATGGCATGCTGGTTTTTACAACGAATAGTACCAGTATTATTGTATATTAGGTAAAACCTAAAATACCAAAACCAAGAGCATTAGTTGATAAGACTGTTCAAACTTCTTACTTCGAGATACCATATGTATAAATTTCCAGAAACAATCTAAAATAAGATAATGATGTAATAACCAGAATATGACAAAGATGAAAAGACTTACCCCAAAAATGATCAATTTCAGAACTTTCTGAAAATCATGTATCTTTCCATCACTATCAAAAGTTGCTTGCCACCTGTCTGGCTTGAGCATTTTCTTTATCTAAACAATCAAAAACAACAAAGAAGGCTTCCCACATTATTGAGAGAATGGAACCGATGATGAATGTAAAGGCATTGCATGCAAGTACAAGATATAATACAAAAAGGCCAGTCAGAAATTTTTTTTGATATCTTTTCTTTTGTTAAAATTACCGCATGTTCCAATGCTAAAACTGATAATTTAAATGGCCACTAAAGTAAATTGGAAGTAAATGTTTTTAAGCCATAGGGAAATGACAACCTTTATAGGTGACTGATGAAGACATGGCTCTCCAATGTCTCGGACAATTGAGCTCACTCTTTGAAAATTCACAGTGCCACCTTTTCCACATTTCCATTGCTTCCCACCCCTGTCGAAAGACATCACCTATGTCTCTCCCTTTTACTTACTGCCACTTCTCAACTTCTGGAATCCTGAAAACCAAACAATCAAAAGACCTGAAACATTCATACATTCATATATTGGCATATTGCAAACAAGAGTGAGGAGAAAGGGAACACGAGCAGGATATGTGTTTGATTGTGTGTGAATTTACAGGATTTCAATATAAATAGTTGCACATCCTTGTAAATAATCAAGATTCTTCTAACAATTTAATTTGCTAAAAACAATCAACTCGGGATAATAATTGTAGTTTCTATCCAAATAATACCAGAAAATGCCAACTTCATACCCATATCTATCAGTTAATGCATAATTGTCTGGCTCCAAACACACACAAAACAAGACATATCTAATATCTAATATTTATAACAGACAAGAAAAACTATTTTCCGACAGAAATGATTAGTTCATATTAGTACAAAATAATAAAACGAAACAGATTTTCATCATAATGAAAATTATAAACATCAATTGTCCTTGCAATTCCATCAGTGATCGGGTTGTATCGAAAATTCATTTCATTGAAGTAAAATGATTGGGATAGAAAATTCGACTTTCAGATGTACACAATGCACGTATATATACACATCGTATGAAGAGAGAGAAAGCAAGAGAGAGAGAGAGAGCACCTGAGAATATAGTGAGACGGAAGAGAGCTCCGAATAACAGAGATCGGAAAAGAGCTGTGTCGCCATTAACAGGTAGAAGACCGTTTCTCGGTCTAACTTCGTTTTTCGCCTGAAATTTATTTTTTTCCCGTATTACTCCGTAATTTTTTTTATTTTAATTTGGTAATTTTGATTATTCACGGAATCACGGCAAACGCTAGACCCGAAAATAGCTGCGGATGCCCAAAAACAACAATGTTGGGCTCAGTAAAATACGCCTCCGCTCCAACACTACTACTAATAACTAGTCTTTTTATGCGTATTGTGCAAATAAGATAATCAATATTTATTTTTAAATAAATACTTATCAATCTAAGATTATATAAAAGATGTATGTATATACATAATTGAATGTTGAATTTGTTTATTTAAATCGATAATTCAAAATATATGAATGTAATATAATATATGAGAGATAATAATTTAATTAGACGGACATTTTTTAGTTCCCAAACCTAACTCTATTGGTTCTTATAAGTATATATATAGTAGATAGACAATAATAATGATAATAATAATAATAAGGGAAAATGACACTTTTTTCCCCTGAGTTATATACCTATAGCATTTTTTCCCCCTAAATTATTGAAGTGGCTGTTTTTCCCCCTGAAATGTTAAATGGACATATTTACCCTTAAACTAAATATTTAATTTATTTTTTCTCCAACAAATTATGACCATAATTTGGTTCAAACTAAACAAACACTATAGCAACCAAACCGAAATATTTCAATTACAATTTAGAATCGAAATTCGATATTTAGAGTTTATTAAAATCATGAACCGAAACGGACGGTTCATGTTTCAAACTGAAAAAATAAAATACATTTATTGTTGAATATAGACTATTTTAAAATAAAAAATAAAATTTTAAAATAAAGACGGTTCAAAATCGCAAATCAGATCCAAAACCGTCGGTTCATGGTTCAAGATTCAACTTTTTTGATACATAATTTAATAAATTGACATTTAAATATTGGGTTCTAGATCTGAATCATAACCGTAAACTATTAATTCGATTGCTTTAGTATCCGGTTCAATTCAAACTGAACCGTGGTCATCCCTACGTATACGCAATAATTTGTTGGAGTAATAAAATAAATAAAATGTTTACTTTAAGGGTATAAATGTCAATTTAATATATTAGGGGGGAAAAACACCACTTTTAGAATAATTGAGGGGGCTAATGTGCTTACCTAAATAATTGAGGGGGAAAAAATGCTATAAGTATATAACTCAGGGGTAAAAAGTGTCATTTTCCCTAATAATAATAGTCAAGATTTTTCTAAAATACTTTTAAAGCTTCTTTCTTAAAAAGGACAATTTTAAATTTATTTTTAAAATAAAAAAAAATATTTTGTCATCATTTTATTACATAATATTCTTACATTACCACGTCATTCAACTAATCACATCATCATATAATCTTCCATAGTTCCATATCATCATGATGCCATTCAACTTTTATGCTACATAATTGTACAATTTATATTTTCTATAAAAAGAAAAAAAAAAACTAAGGTTATGTTTATTAACGAGATGAATTCTACAAATTTTTGAACAAAGAAAAATAGTGAATATTTCTTTGATGTGAAAAAACAAGTAATGACTAATGTAAAACAAGATACCAAAAAATTGAAGAATTGAAGTAAACACAACCTAAAACGTTGTCAATAAAAATTAAACCCTAATTGCATAAATAATTATACTACACTATTAACTTTATATTGTTTAATAACATTAATGTTAATAGTCTAATATACTGGTTACTGTTTTTATTAATTATTTAAATAATCAATCTTCATGTACGATTTAAACCACTCTAGTTTAGGGAAAATAAACTATAGTAATAATAATAATAATAATAATAATAATAATAATAATAATAATAATAATAATAATAATAATCTTTTTGTCTTATATGTTATTTATTAATCAAATCAATAATTTTTTCACTTTTTAAAAATATTTTTAAATGTCCTTTTTTGTTGGTTAATAAAATCTTGTAATGTAAGTTTTAAATATATAAATTTTATTAACTAATTCACATTGTTGTACGAGTTGATCATATAATGTGACAATGGAAATGGAGTATTTCATAGAATAAACTCTATAAAGAAAAAAAAAAAGTGAAATAAATCGGATTATTAGAAAATGAAACATAAAGTTTACCAATAAATTTTGTTGATTCGAAACTATGTTCGTTGCATTTCAGAAATATATTTTTATTAATTAAATTAACTTGTAACTTAATTCATAATTACTTGTCTTTGGACTCTGAAACCCGTTACTGACTTATGCAAATAAATGAATTGACAGATTTTTATCATCTAAATATGCTAAATACTACTGTAAATAACACCTATACATATGTAACTCTCATAATTTGTTTCTAAATTATTCATGATTAATCATCTCACAAAAAATTGAATCATTAAATAATTGGCTCTTTCTTTTATACGTGTACCCAAGAAATTTAAGACTACTCCATACTCAAAGTCAAGGATTGAATCCTTGACTTTGGTTAAAAATGAATGAGTCTCTTCCATCAACCACCATCAACCACACCCAGGTTTAATGATTGGTTCTTTCATTTTCAAATTTGTAATTTCTAATAGATATACGAATAAAACTTTTTTTATACACTTCAACAAGGGTTAACTCCACCAGAGCCTTTTCTTTAAACTGCCTACAACAAGGTCTTAGCTGAGCCAGAAAATTGATAAAAATGGGAAGATCAACCATGACAGACATAATAATAAAGTTTATTGATGAAGAGGAATGGATATGGAGATGAAAACAAGCCTATATGCACCTACTTGTATCATTAGAAAATCTTTCATAGAAAACTAGGACTGGATTACCAAAAACAGCAGCTATACAAGAAGATGTATGTTAAAAAATATACATGAGATCTACTCAAAGTCCATCTAAGGCTCCCTACTTCAAACCGGCTCAATATGCTACTAATTCTCTTCAGTACAACAACGTGGAAACAAAAAACAAAAGAATCGACACAGAGATATCCAACGCATGTATGCAACACCCTGCATCACCGTAAATACTAGCATCAGCTATCTAACTAGAAAAAGTATAGCATTTCTACTTGCAGGCATAACTTCTCGAATAGTTAAGCAATGGCAAAATACAATGCAGGATGACACTGGGAGGAAAACTTTCCAGACAATGAAAAGAACTAAATGCATGAATTTTATTAGGACCATATTAGCTCTTCAACTGCATATGTTATCAATGATAAAATTGCAAACACAAACATCAGCTGCCGAAAAGGAAAATCGCTTATCTAAAAACAGACAAGTTGGACTGGGACTCGGCAAACCACTGTAAGGAGACATGCATACATCTATATTATCCAAGCAACTGAGACTATAATTTAATACTGCACAATACATAACTGACACATACCAGAATTACCCATAGTCTCTGATGTTGGTAATGCTGGTAAGGACATCTCTGCAAATTATAGTAAAATTCAATATCACAATTATATAATGATGATGACAATGCTAACAATATAAAAACAACAAAAAATAATAATAACTACAAAGCAACCTTAACTGAACTGTATACTTGCTTTTTCCCATTAGACTACAATTTGCTTGTATAAACTTATAAAATAATGCAGAATAAGTTGCAAGTCTGTGTACTGTTTCCACTAACTTACCAGGTGCACAAAGAGATAATGATGTATCAGAGGATGATGAAGGCCATGGAGCTGCAATATTATCATTCAAATCACAGGTAAAACTGAAGCCTGTTGAGTTGTCATACACTAAATCTGCAGGCAAGCTCCGAAGCAAGCACCCTGCTTTATTAATTGCAAGTTTTATCAGCACTAGAGCAAGCCCCAAAATATCTATAGTTTATCATTTCTTGGTCTGTTTTGACTTTAGAGGTGTAGAGATACAGTTCTACATAAATCTCATTCTGGACACAAAATAGAAACTGATGGACCACTGGTGTAGATATCAGCTTAGATCTTATCAAATTGTGAAGAAAAAGTCAATAACCATTTCCTACAAATCTAAATATACACAATACTTCTATAGGAGTTTGCTTTTAACCTTTCATTTCAATTTCATCCTCAAAAATCCAAGTCTACACATGTAATCTAGTAACCTTTAGTTGATGTTTTTTATTGTTAAAGCTAGAGATGTTTAGAGCATGAGGAGATGGGTTTCGTTGTTTCACTTTTTAAATTGTCCAGTGCTCATCCATATGAACATAATGCCAAAGGTTAGCAAAAGAAAAAAAAAATGAAAGGGAGATAAGTACCCTCTTGTCCGTATGCTGCTCCAATGCCAATACATGTCAATAAAAGATACAGAAAAACATCAGATCCAGAATAAGGAAACATGAAAAAAAAAATGATAAAGAAACAAACTATATCAAATCAATTATCACCTTGAAGGCTAAAATCTTTTAAGTCCACATCACAAAGCTCATACACATTTGTCATCACCCCGGCCTTCTGTAACATCGATCCAAATACAGTTGCACATATTATTGCTTGTCGATTAGTAATCAACATTTGCTTTTGTATCTCAGCAATATATGAATTTAGTGAGCTGCAACACGAAGGACTGGGAGCAGCTAAGTTTTGGCATGGTTTGATCACTTCTGATGGCTGCTTGAAATCCAAAGGACAAACTGCAATCCAAACAAATGGTACTTGAGAGTACATACTTTAAGATACAAAACAGCACTATGCCTCTTACAATGTCAATTTTTAAAAAAAGAAGAATATCATTTTCTTCCATGTTTAGTAAAACACTGATAGATATACCATTGGAGGTTGGGCTTAGTATCATGGCCAAGTTGTCAACTCTTGTGTACAAATCATACATAATATTTAAATCCCGATTCTTTCACCCCATAAGAGACTTTGAAATGCAAGAGCTGCATGTACTAGGCTGGGGTAATTATAAAGTGTGCTTTCCAAGTTTTGAGAGAGATTGGAAGACTCCAACAGAAATAAGACTCAAAATCCATAATTCATCCCCAGTTTTGTTTCCTATACATAGTTGGATACTTGGATTAACAATTTTAACTAAGGAATGGGACTTGTATTCACTTC